AAAAAAAAAATACAGCTTAACCACCGATGTTGCTACGCCACGTCAACAATGGATAATTATCATCCTATCCCCTGTGGACAGGAGATCAACTCTGTAGAGGCGAAATAGTTTATCTAAAATGTAAAGTTTAGTAACTATTTTGAAACCGAAATAAACCCGATTGATCTAATGGAAATCAGGCTATTAAGTTCGGTGACTATTAGGTTTTTAAGCTGTTGGCAATTTTAATAATGTACAGGTTTTTGGACAAGGCAGCTGTTGTGACAGAGGAAGACAATGTGAAATCCCCAAATCCATGGAAGCTTAACACAGTCCATAGGGTTGAAGAACTAAAATCACTTATAAGAATGGGGCCAATATGGGCAGCTGGAATTCTCCTCATCACAGCCTATGCCCAACAAAGTACTTTCTCACTTCAACAAGCCAAAACCTTGGACAGGTATATATTCAATCATCTAATCTAAATTATTAGAAAGAAAATAAATTTATTAAAATTATGCCTTCATGAACAGGCACCTCACCAAATCCTTTGAAATTCCTGCTGCATCCATGAGTGTCTTCACTCAAACCTCCATGCTGTCGACTATCATCTTCTATGATCGAGTATTTGTGCCTATAATACGCAAATTCACAGGCCTTGAACGCGGTATCTCTTTCCTTACACGAATGGCAATTGGGTTTTTCATTTCGTTATTAGCCACATTGGTTGCTGGTTTTGTCGAATTAAAACGCAAAGATGCAGCAATGGCACATGGACTAATCGACCTGCCTGGAGACATAATTCCCATGTCAGTGTTTTGGCTAATGCCACAATACTGCCTTCATGGAATAGCAGAAGCCTTCATGTCGATTGGACACCTCGAGTTTTTCTATGATCAGGCGCCGGAAAGTATGAGGAGTACCGCTACTGCATTGTTCTGGTTATCCATTTCTGCTGGGAGTTATACAAGTACACTTCTGGTTACTCTTGTGCATAAGTTCAGTGCCGGACCTGGTGGATCAAATTGGCTTCCGAATACTAATTTGAACAGGGGAAAATTAGAGAATTTCTACTGGTTAATCACTCTACTGCAATTTGTCAACTTGATTTATTACCTGTTTTGTGCCAAATTCTATACGTTCAAGCCAGTTCAGGTATGGAAGGCAGAAGATGAAAAGGTCGAAGAAGATACAATCGAGCTAACAAGCCATGTTTAATGGCAAGATATTTGGAGGTTACTGAGCATTGTCTAGAGTTTAGCCTCGGCCTTTCTTAACTTGAAACTTCTGTATGTAGAACGTTCCACCTCGATGTAGAAGGAATTACGTAGACTAGAGAGAAAAATGTAGAAATGTGTGTATGACCTAAAACGTGTGCATTTTCAAGACTAATTTTTAGGTCATTGGTTTAGTTTCTATCTAATGCAAGGATTCACCGAATAATTTGATCGACATGCATATGTATCAAGAGTAGCGCTATTAGAAGAATTATTACCGCTTTTTTTCAAACACCCAATTTATTTAAGGGAAAATTGCAGTCGAGGTATCAAACCTTTCGTTTATTAGCAGACTTTATCTAAACCTTTAGTTTGTGCCAGCCACAGTTCCAAATCTTTCAAAAATATACACCGGGGGTCCAAATGGATGAAATCCGTTCAGTTGACCGTTAGTTGACCAAGAATAGTAAATGTTGACCTATTTTGACTAAATTGGAAATGGTAAAATGGTAACTTGATAATTATCATATTAAATAAAAAATCAAAAAATCAAGAAAAAATCAAAAAATAAAAAAATTAAGAAAAGAAATTAAAATAGGGTCATCTTCACCCCATCGCCCAGCCCAAAACTACCGCCGTCAACGGCTCAACTGCTTGAAGCTGCATCCCAAGCCCCAACAAAAAATGAGCGACAGTGTTTCTATGGACCAAAAACCATGTTTTTATCGACCGAAAACTAGTGATTTTCGGCCACCATTGAAGCCGATTTCACATGTATTCTCATCGAATGCTTTGCGTTTAACACAAAATGAATGGGAAAAACTTTATTAGTCCAATTTGTGAGTGCTTATACAGATTTTTTCCTGTATCACCAAATTAATAGGGAAAACTTTACTGGTCCGGTCTATTACATTTTATTTCTAATTTAAACCATTTCTTGATGATTTGGGGCCATGGAACTGCTCGTCTAGGGGAGCATTAACAGCTTGTAACGAAGTTAGGCTATGGGTGTTGAAGGATTGGCCAGAATTGGAGGAACAGTCATTCGCAGTGACGATTTTTTGTGCATGAAATATGCCTGATTTTCAACCAATTATTGTTATTTCTGGTATGGGATGTAGAGTGGATTAGGAGGGTTGGTGATGTCAAGATCCGATGGTTTTTTCGGCATTGAGTGGGTGGTGGCGGTGTCAATGGCTATCACGGTGTGACTGGCCGGAGAAGGAGAAGGAGGAAATGTGGGGTGGGGTGGGGTGGGGCCTGTATTAGTTTTGAATTTTTTCTTAATTTTTTTATTTTTTGTTTTTTTGATTTTTTTTTCAATTTATTTAATATGATAATTATCAAGTTACCATTTTACCCTTTTCAATTTAGTTAAAATAGGTCAACATTTACTATTCTTGGTCAACTAACGGTCAAACGGACGGTTTCCATCCATTTGAACCCCCGGTGCATATTTTTGAAAGGTTTGGTACTGTGGGTTGCGCAAACTCAAAGTTTGGGTAAAGTCTGCTAATAAACGAAAAGTTTGGTACCTTGGCTGCAATTTTCCCTTTATTTAAATCAATTTGAACCCCCGGTGCATATTTTTGAAAGGTTTGGTACTGTGGGTGGCGCAAACTCAAAGTTTGGGTAAAGTCTGCTAATAAACGAAAAGTTTGGTACCTTGGCTGCAATTTTCCCTTTATTTAATTCAAGAAAAGTTGAGCTGCATAATCAAAAAATTATTATTTTTTCTTCTTAAGAATATTTTTTTTTTCCTTCTTCTTTTCTTTTCTTTTCTTTCTTCTTCTTCTTTTTTTTTTTTAAGTATGGTGTCAAAAAAAAAAAAAAAAAAAAGGGTTAAACTCCCGTTTGATGGGGATTAAAATCAATGTTATAAATTAATTTCATCTACATATTTCATTAAATTTACAACTTTTTCACCATACGTTTTATCAAAATATTCTGAAAACCTATCAAAACAAGGGCTAAAAAAATATCTATAATTATCTATCTGCAACAAAAGAAAACTTGTGGGCATTGAATGTGACTGGAAAAGTATGCAATTTTAGCCATTAGTCAATTAAAATATTTATCCTATTCCAATTAGGCTTGCAATATTGCTTTTCCATGCTAATTAGTTGCTCATCTCACGAAAATATTTGTTTGTTTAAAATTACTGCAAGTGCACGATTTGTTAACAAGTAGCCAAAAACAATTAATTGTTGGGGTTCAAAGTAAAAACACTAAAAAATATTATGCGAACAACATAATTCTTATTTCACAGGGTTTAAACAACTTCACAAGAAAATCAGACAAAACTGATCCTACAACTAAATTCATCAAAGCATGAATATTCGAATCACCACTAAACAACATTATGTCCAAATCATGTCAGTCTTTTTTTCTTTTTTGAAAAGTTCATTTTCAACCTCAGATTCTCACAATAAAATATTTCACACTTAAATTCAAACATTTTTCTTACTTTTTAATTACACATTTTCCAAAAAATTACTATTTCAAAACTCATTTTCTCCCAAAAGACTCATTTTAAAGATTATCAAATAGGGGCTAAAGAAACTAACATCCAGAACATACGTCAAAGTTAAGAATAAATTTTAACTGCATATTTCATGAGATTCACAATTTTTTTATTTCAAATATCAACAATTTTTGTCAAAATCCACTAAAATTTTAATTTCCACTAAACAGGAGCGTAATATACAGCCCATGTTTGGCCCCCATTCTTATCTCATTCTCATTCTCAGTCATTTTCTCTATCTTATTTTTAACCATACAATCTTCCATAAAATAATATTACACACAAATAAAATAAATTTCATTCTTTTTCAACCACATATTTAAAAAAAATATTATTCCATCCATTAAAATTAGCTAAGAATGAGGGCAAAACACCCACATAATATCATGGAAAAATTGCAGTCGAGGTACCAAACCTTTCGTTTATTAGCAGACTTTGCTCAAACCTTTAGTTTGTGCCACCCACAATCTCAAACCTTTCAAAAATATGCACCAGAGGTTCAAATGGATGGAAACCGTCCGTTTGACCGTTAGTTGACTAGAAAAGTCAAAATTTGACTAATTTGGACCAAATTAAAAAGGGCAAAATGGTACTTTGCATTTTTTCTTAATATTAATAATTAAAATAATTAATAATAACAATAGAAAAGTAAAAACAAAATAAATAAAAATCAAAGAAAAGAAAGGAAATATTGTTCATTTTCATCTTCACCACACCCCAACTATTCATCATCACCCCCACGTCCCCACCCCACCCCACCCCACCACACCCCAAATTCTTCATTCCATGTCTGCAACTTCAAAATCCTTTAATCTATTTCACTTCCCAATCTCGCAATCAATTGAAAACCCGAAGAACATCAAATTCAAACATTATCCCTACTTAATTAATTAAAATCCAAATCCGAAGAACAAATTTCTTGCTACAGTGGAATTGGAGAAATTCCACTTTCGCACCCGACACCAAGACCCGCACGATGCGAGAGTCGTCCGTCCGTGTTAGCGAGGTTGCTACTGAGCAACTTGAGAAGCGACAGAGCGACTGGGCGTTTGTAAGCCTATAGTAGTGATGGACCTTATATGGAACCTAGAATCGTCTCGATTTCTATTCTGATTTGTAATGGTTTTTGGTAATGGGTGTGAAGAGTTGTTGCCGGCAATGGTCTTTTGGCGGCGGTACTGGTGACGGGCGGTGGTGTTGGATCTGCTGGTGGCTGGTTTAGGGGTGGGGTGGAGTGGGTGGGGGTGGAGAAGACAACAATTTTCTTTATTTTCTTAATTTTTTGATTTTTTCTTTATTTTTTGATTTTTTTCAATTTATTTAATATGGTAATTATCAAGTTACCATTTTACCCTTTCCAATTTAGTCAAAATAGGTCAAAATTAACTTTTTTTTGGTCAACTAACAGTGAAATTGACAGTTTCCATCCATTTGAATCTCTGGTGTATATTTTTGAAAGGTTTAGGACTATGGGTGGCACAAACTAAAGGTTTGGGCAAAGTCTGCTAATAAACAAAAGGTTTGGTACCTCGACTGCAATTTTCCCTAATATCATAGTGAAACCTTGATTTTAGGAAAAATTGCAGCTGAGGTACCAAACCTTTCGTTTATTAGCAGACTTTGACCAAACCTTTAATTTGTGACACCGGAGGTACCAAACCTCCAAAAAATTCGCACCCGGAGTCCAAATTGACAAAAACAGTTAGTTTTACCATCAAAATTGTTAGTTGACCCCAAAATTGACATTGACCAAAATTTTGACTGATTTTTAAAGGTTAAAATTGTAACTTTACATTTTTTAACAAAAAAGACAATTATAATAAATATTGATAATTAAATAAAAAAACAAAAATCAAAATATAAAACCACCCACCACCCTTCCCTTTTTCCCCAATCCCGGAGCCCCAAAAACCACCACCGTCACCGTCCACCGCCATAGCCAGCCCTTCGAGATCGCCTTCTGCTTCATCTTCATCTTCTTTATCGTCCCATTTGGCAATGATTGAATTAAAGCAGAGAATCCTTATTGCGCTTTCGAAAATTGACCTACTGAGATGCCCACCAGATCGCTATGGAGGACCTCGAGAAGATTATTGAAGCCCTGTCCAATGATGGGGTTTCAACGCTACTCAATTGCCTATACAATGCCAAGAATGACCCGAAGCCTGCAGTGAAGAAAGAGAGCATTCGACTCCTTGCTGTACTCTGCACTGCTCGCACTGATTCTGCTGCGACCCATTTGACCAAAATCATTGCTCACATTGTTAAGAGGCTAAAGGATTTAGATTCCCAAGTTAGAGAGGCCTGTTGTGATATAGTTGGCTCATTGTCTGCACTGTACTTGAAGGGTGGAGGAGGGAGTGATGGGGGTGGGATCGCTGTTTGTCAAGCCGTTGTTTGAGGTGATAGGCGAAAATAACAAGGTTGCGCAAGGTGAAGCAACAATGTGTATGGTGTTGGGCGGTCGACTGTTTATTTGGAGAATTTGAAGGCAATGAAGGGGTGGCGTTGGGCGGTCGACTGGCGTTGAAGGTGTGGCGTTGGGCAGTCGGCTGGCAGGTAAGGAAGTGAGTGGTTCCTGGTTTTTGGTTTTGGGGTGGGTGTTTGTAGGGTGAAGTGGAAAAGATGAAGTATATTTCTTTTTTTTTAATTTTTTATATGAAAAATATAAAGTTACATATTTAACCCTTTAAAAATTAGTCAAAATTTTGGTCAATGTCAATTTTGGGGTCAACTAAGGGTTTTGATGGTCAAACTAACGGTTTCTGTCAATTTGGACTCTGGGTGCAAATTTTTTGAAGGTTTGGTACTTCCGGTGGCACAAACTAAAGGTTTGGACAAAGTCTGCTAATAAACGAAAGGTTTGGTTTCTCAGTTGCAATTTTCCCTTGATTTTATTTGATCTTCGAGCAATTGAAACCTCACCCATGGGGGGTCCTGAACAAAAAAATGGAACCCCTATCTATGGGTAGGGTTTGGTTGGAGGGCTATTAGTCCCCTATTTTTGTAGCAAAACCCTTATTTTTTTGAGATTTTATACATATTAAGACTTGTCAACTTGCCCCTAAAGTGTGTATTATTCACACAACTCGATCAGAATAGTATGGTTGATAGAGTCTTAGTCAAATATTTCATAGGTAATTAATTGGTGGTATTGCATCATCTTGATTCTTAGACAAGTCATGGTGCTTTAATGTCCAAACATGAACATACACGTAACGCAACTCCACTGCTTTCTTTAATGAAGATAAGAAATTTGTTAGAGGTTCGAAAGTTTCAACTTTTATTAATGCTTTAATTTGATGTATACATATAAAATGATTTATATAGAAATGCAAAAACCAATTGACAACGAGGTTGACGAAAGTGATCTGACGGTCACGGTGCATGGCTCTTTCTCATGGCCGTTCCTTTGGGGTAAGGTTTCGATGACTTATTTCTTCTTCAAACATGGCGATGCGACCATATTTATTACCTTCCCACCTACTTGTGTATATATATATTGTCTTTATACATAGATATAAGTTTTCATTATCGATATTTGTTGGATTTGAGGTTAGACGGTAGATCGAAAAATCATGGCCCCCAATTTTCATTCTCTCTTTTCCAGAAGAGAAAGACAGTGGACAGCCAAAAAGTAAGCTTCTAATTTTCTCCAAAACATCTTCGTTTCTCTCTTCTGACCTTTTTTTTTTTGGGTGTTAATGTTTGAAAGTATGAAAAAATGTTCTTGAATCTGAAGGACCGGAGAAAGGGTTTCGAGTTCAAGAGTTGCCATCGTTAAGGACGCGGCGCTTGAGGACGCTAACACTGGATTAACCCAGTTATCGGCGGTTGCGAATTCGTTCGAGGAGCTTTCTTCGGTGGTGAACTCCAATGGTTTCAATTTTGATCTTCGTTTGGAACCCTTTTGCGATGCTTGTTCGCTTGTTTCTGATCTCTTTGGTTCTTTGGGCATAGCGTTTAAATTTGCCGAATTGGAGTATGTTTCTAAGGTTGGTTTTATTTAATTCCTATTCTATTCTACATTTCGTCCATATGTACATGAAGAATAGTTGCATTTTTATTGATCTTTTATATTATTGATTTAGATGTGAAATTTTGTGTTAGTGTGTGTTTTCAATAATTCAAGATTATCTAAGGAGGATTCTTGGTTCATGTGAATTGAAAATGATATTCCTTAATGATCTTCCAGAAAAAAGACAAATGAAGAAGAATAAGGGCCCGTTTGGTCTGTCTAGGTAACATATAATGCTCCAATTCATTTCAGGTAAATGATCTGGCAGAAGCATCACGGATACATGGAACTTTAAATAATATACTTGATTTTGATGTAAGAAATGATACAGTGAAAACACAAGGAAGCCTCTCACGTAACTTGCGCAGAGTTAGGCTGGGTCTTGATCTCATCAGAGCTTTATTCCAAAACTTCTTGTCATCGGAGTACGTTTCTCTTCCTTCCTTTAATACCATCTTGTCAAAATTTAGATTTTTTTCTCTGGAAAGGATGTCTAACTTCTCACTATGCTACTTCCAGTGATTGTTCTTTAAAAGAAGCTGCTTCAGCAGCTTATGCAAAAACTTGTGCACCATATCACGCATGGGCCATCAGGACTGCTGTTTCTGCTGGTATGTTTGCACTGCCGACAAGGGAACAACTACTGCTGAGGCTCAATGAATCTGGCGAGTTTATTCGTCACCTTTGCTTGCTTTCTTTTGATTTTCCTGTCATTAAATAGTAAGATCGTTTTGGTGACTACTGGGGGGCTACGTTTTTTTATTAGAGTACCACACTGTGAAATTGTGGAAATTGGAAAGGTTACTAACCAGTTCTGAACATAAAGGTTAATGTATAATAGAATTTGCAGTGAAATAACTGCAAAAATTTCTCGACTAAGTTCTCCATAAGGACCTATAGGAAAGGAGCTCCACTTTGGAAGTTACTTTGAAGGGCTATCAACCACTCACCTGTTTCTGCAAAATACGACCTTTATAGTTCGTTAATGGTTGATAAGGAATTTGAGAATTTGGTAGGCTTTGACCACAATCGAACTTGCTATTTCTACGAACGTATAAGCTATATGTTTAGTGATCAATCCCTGAAATTCTGTCTTCCCACAGCATCTATTGGATAAAAACAGAGTTGAGCTTTAAAGTTGAGATTTGGAACTTATAAAACATTAATGAGCCTTTTTCTGTATGATGCCTAGTGACTAAAAGAAGATGCGTAGTTTTGATAGGCGTTGACAGGGAGAGATTGGAAGTCGCAATTCACATTCACATCATACTTAGCACGAATTTAACAGTAATATAATATGCAAGTAAAGGTCTCTTGACAAAGGACAGTGATTATTTAAAATACAGGACAGACATTTTGTCAGCTTTGAAGTAGTTTTCATCATTGTCAATTACGGATTATTGCTTTTATGCATAAAGTTTCTGTTTAGATTCATGATTTGTATGCTTTTCTGATTTATATACTGGAAACGCGACTGATACTGATACAACATCATTTCAGACGAGTCAGCAGAGAAGGAAATGCAAAGATACATCGATGCCTCTCTTCCAATCATAGAATACATTGATAAATTGTACACTTCAAGAAATATCAGGTTGGATTGGTGAGCTTTGCTTCATTTGGAAGAGGCTACTGATATACAAACCTCTTTCTCAGTGCAGCAAGATTGGACATTTTCTGAAGGTACATTCAAAGCATGAAAGTCCAATTTGTCCTGAAAAGTTTTTTTTTTTTTTTTTTTTTTTAATCACTGCCGACACGAATTCTCACTTCTAGTATATGCTTCTGCAGGCTTGTTGCCAAGCATCCTAGCAGTCGAAAACTCGAAATAGCAGTATCTTGTTCATGTAGGCCAGAAATTTAGGTGGAAGTAGCTACTTTTTCTACAGAAATACCAGTTATTTGTGGGTTAATTGGCACGTGTGCATAAGATGTCCTGCCAGAAAATATAATTTCGTAAAGAATAGATCCTTTTATTTGATTTCGTGATCCACTGATTGAATTATCAAACGATATTGGTGAAGTCCGGGTGACCTTTGTGCCCAAAAAGTGCATATTTAACTTCTCATCTAAGTCCACGTCTCAATGTTATGTATCTCTCTTAGGACGCCTACTTCTGGCATATGGTTTAGCCTCTCCACATGCTTTTTAACTCTGCCTGGAGGCCTGGAGACGAGCTTTCTTGGCCGTTTTCTTTAACTATGATGCTCTTAACAACGTTAAGGGTTCTCAACTATTTTTTTTTTGTTTTTTTGTCTGAACAAATGCAACTAGGGCTGGTCAAATTTTTCGAACCCGAACCAAACTGAATCGAACTTGACGGTTCTTGTCAAATTAAATACCCGAACGGGTATTTGAATTGAGAAACGACGGGTACAGTTTGGTTCTCGGTTCTAGACCAAGAATCGAAGAATGGAATAAGAATCGAATCTTTTTAATTTTTTTTATATTGAGTAAATCAAATTATTATAATTTTAATTTTTTCTAAATAAATTAACAAATTAACAATTTCTAAATCCAAATTTTTGATCCAATAATTTGTTTCATTTTTAATTGTTGGCCCAATTACCCATTTTATTGTTTCATTTCTTAGCTCAACAAAATTCAATCCACTAAATAATCATAAACACCTATACTAAAGTGCATAACGTTGTCTTGACTCTCGCAGCCTCGCTAACATTCTAAAACCTACATAATCGTCTGTCGACGCTGTGACCTCCGATCGAAACTGTGACATTCGCTGACTGAAATTTTGACCGTAGCGATCATTTGAATAAGGTAGTCTACCGGTTTCTGACATTCCAAAATCATTGAATATATCATTATTTGTATTTACATAATGTTGTTATAAATGTTAAAAATTTTAATTATAGTACAGAATCGAACGGAACCGAACCCGAACAGTTCCATAATTATATTTGGACCTGACGGTTCCATTTACTAGATACCCGAAAATTTTGGTTCGGTACCGACCCACCCCCACCCCTAAATGCAGCCAATTCAACACCATAAACAGCAAGAAAGTTCCTTGACCTGGTATAACGCAGTATCAAACCAGTAATAGGTTAAGAGAACGTTTGGCATGGTTTTTGAATAGTTAAAAGAAGTCTTTGAGACCCAAAAGTTGTTTTTGAACTAGTTTGACTAATTTTGTTAAAATGTTTTTTCTTAATATAAAGAGCTTTTGGATGAAACTGGTTTAATATGATTTTTTCTAAAAATACATTCGGAATATAAAGTTTCAGTAATACTATTCAGCACCTCTATACTTTGACATTAGTCTAGGACACATCATTTGTGTCATTAAATTTTAGATTCAATTAAATATAAGGATTTATGACTCATTTATTAGGACACATGACTTTTTGACATCTAAATTAATGTTCAGGTACTAAATAACATAATTCAAAAGCAAAAGTTTCGTCAAACGGGTTTTAAGGACACACGCATAAGTTAACTCGCGTAACTCCAAGGCATTTTTTAACCGAAGAAAATATATATATCTGCAGAAACTTCACCACTTCTCGGTATACTCACCAAATATATTGCAATCTTCACCATCCATTCCAATCCCCAAACCCTATGCCCCAACTGTATATATCAACTTTCAAAATAATTAAAAAACTAAATTAAAAAAAAATGTCCGTTAATCTATCTTCTCCATTTCATCTTGTCCGAGGAAATACATGGAAATGGTCAGTTGACAACATTTCCAAAAACGTCTTTGACAAAAAAAAAAAAAAAAAAAAAAGTTAAATTGTGAAGTGAAAGATCAAAAGTCAAAAATACCCTTACTTCATCTTGTGCAAACTATGGAAAGGAAAAAGAAAAAACTCAGTCGGGATCTAGTCGACCACACTACCCTCACAGTCAACTCAACGCCAACCACCACACAACCTAGTCATCAGCGACATTATGTTCAACAATGTTAGTTTTTGTGATTATGAAATTGATTTTTCACATATGGTAAAGATTAAATTTAGTATTTATTTAGTCTATTGGTCATTATTTAGGTAGATGCTTGAGTGCATACTAGATTTAAGTGTTTTTTGGGGGCGGAGATCGCCAATTCTTATTGGATATAGCGATTTTTTGACCAAAAATTGGAGATGGCAGGAAGGCTGTTAACAGTTGGCGAACCCGACTCTTAATAGTCCTTCCTGTGGCCCATATATCAGTTGAGAGAGGTATAGTACTCTGGACAAATTATTAATGTATTACTATGTTAACAGTTTAGACTAGTTGATAGCGATACACTCCACTTCGACCTCGAGGGCAAAGTCGTTAGTTTCTATATTTAAGTTTGCCCTCATGATTGCACTGGAAATCACGGGCGACGAAGCAGCGAGCAACGATATTCAAAGAAACAATAAGTCGTATGACACATGTTTTCAAGAACAGGGAACGATACTTCTACCGTAGTTGATTGATGCAATCAGAGAATGTGACGAAGTGTTGGACATATTGAAGCTGGGATTCGCTTATATCCTAGAGAACATGGTGAGGTGTTATCACAAAAAGAATGTGATTGACCTTTTTCATTAAAAAGTTATTGACGACATCGATGCCTTCAACAATTATCCGTGGGGGCGGAGGTTTTTAGCACACCGTACACGTCTTCACAAGATCACATTCGAAGTCCAAGAAGCCCTTGCATAAGTACAATACTTATGGATTGTCATTGACAATGCATGTAAATGTTTAACATAATTAATATTAAAATATTTTTTATTCTAAATTTATATATAATAATTATATGTATTGCAGATATGGGCATATGAGACTGTCCTCTTCTTGGGTACCCGATTTGCGAAGAGAGTGGAGACACGCTACTCTCGACTGCATCATTGGCGAGTATCTCGAGTAGAAGATTGTCTATTTGCTAGACAATTATCAGCTCTCTTTGACGACCTCAGGTGAGTATTATACATTTGTGATTTATATTGTATGTTGTTTCAAAATCTCAGCACATGATCATTAACTAGTTGAAATGTCAATATGTCAATTTGAAATCTAAACTGATTTAACATAGTTTCGCATACTCAAAACAACTATATTTTCGATTTCATCCTGGACCGAGATTCGATATGTTAATTGAATATAATTTGTTAATTATTGTTTTTAATGAGTTGGGCTATTTTAATGAAGTTATTCATTTTAAGGTTCTTATTTGTGTAGGAGCGCGGTCTAATTGATCGAAAATCATTTTTGCCCCAGATATCATCACCTCTGCCAATGAGATCTCCTTCTTTATCATTTAGACACCTCCCCCATGGATCTCCTGCACACAGTCAGGGTTGTTATTTCGATAATCTATATGTACGTCTAACTGATTTTATTAGAGAGGAGATGTGCACGCAGCACGCTACAAAGTGAGTTGGAGAGGAAGTAGGGGCTCTTTGACAATAGTAAGAGGCGAGGTAGAAGATTTATGCCATGATGTTGGAGTGCTACGAGGCCATTTAGTAGACATTCAAGAAGAGATTGCTGCGCTATAAGACGATATAGTAGGCAGACGAGAGGGAGACAGATTGCATGATAGAGAAGGTGACAGAGAGTGTAATATAGAGGATGGTAGAGAAAGGGGTCACACTTAGGATCATTTTATTATCCGTGACACGGGATAGGGTCTCCTTGATGGTGACGTAAGAGGTGGCAGAGGATGAGAGAATAGAGGGTTGGCCCTGATGGCAGATAAAGAGAGGATGATTGTCATGACAAAGGATTAAAAGCATGCTATTGATGTGCCAGAGTAGGTGGCCTACAAGAGGTCAAGATTACAGTCATAGTACGCCACTTCTCCCTTTATGGCTGAGGCGAAGAGGAGGACGTTCATAGACGGGACATTCCCCAATCTTTTTTTAGAGGTAAACCCTGCCAAGTGGAAAGCTTTTGAAATAGAGTGGAGAAGAATTATGCCTAGGTAAGTATTTTATAATTTTAGTAAACTATGCTAATTCATCTATACTTCTTTTAACATTTTTTCCTTTTCATTTTCAAAGTTAACTACACGATAGCTCAAAAGACGATACCGGATGCTTATAAGTGATTTTAGGATATCACGACTTCGACAGCTTAGCTCGTCAAGATGTAAGTGTAATATCACAATTGTTTTTTATTATGTATATATAATTTGTTGTTTATTAAATTAAATAACTCTCTCTTTTTTATTGGTGTTTCATGTTGTAGCACATCAACCTGACTTTGGACCTATTGTGCAATCAGGCTCGAAGATATCTAAGATCATTTGACGTTCCAGGCCGAGTCATTTTGAGCATCGAGTCCCTACATGCCATTAACATTGTGCATCAATCGCTTCAACTTATGGGGAATGAGTACAGGTTGCCTAAATATATGCTCGGGTGGATCACAAGGATGAGATCGAGTATCGGGAAAAAATCATGGGGCAAGTCGAATGCATATGTACATTCTAGTGATCACTAATTATCACTGCTTTGCTGTGGAGATTGTCTTTCTTGATTCCACTATATACGTGTACGACTCTGATCATACCTGTTGGACACAGGGTCAGGTCGAGCATATATTAGAGCCAGTGCCTATAATCGTTCATTTGATAGACAATTACCACATAATAAGCAAGCAAGGCCAAATGTTTTAATGTAGGGAGTTCGTCTTCACCAGACCCAAACTTCTCCTCTCGCTTTTGATTGGGTTAAAAGTGTTTGTGGCGTCAATTCCTTTTGGTGTACATCTTACCCAAAATACCAAGAAACATAAGTTGTCAGCTCATATCTATCTATCTCCGCTCCTCAATCAAACAAAAGTAACCGTTTGATCCTATATAGCCTGGACCTACATACTCATCGTGGTCGTCCTACAGCCTCCCACACCCATATTCCTAACCTCTCCTCCTATTTTATTTGCTTACCATGCGGTCTCTGTGTCGATTGAGCCCAGTATAGTATTAGTTTTTTAGATCTTAGAAATGAAATCATATCTGCCCGGAAGTGATTTGTGTGACAAACTAGTTATCGTGTGGGACATGACGATGATGAGACGATAGAAATCGTAAGTATTTATAAATTTTTTAATTTGAAAACTTAGTTTTTAGTTATTGAACTAACACGTTGTTTTTAATTGAATTGGCGATTGCTGTTGTTCGTAATTAGGTATATTGAACTTTTGAGTATAATACATAAGGATGATAGAATCAACCAATCCTGAAATTAGAGGAAGAACTTAGCATGCAATTTGTATGAAATCAATAATGGTACGTAAATATTATATATTGTTCCATTCGAAAATGTAAATATTGATTATTTAATTTAAAGTCGTTATATGTTATGTCCCCGTTTGGCCCTCATTTTGGGATAATGAAAATGGGTGGAATAGTATTTTTCTGAAAAATGAGTGGTTGAAAAAGAATAAAAAGTTTTCGATTAACGTGTGATATTATTTTATGGAAGATTGTGTGGTCGAAAATATAAGGGAGAAAAATGAAATGTAATGAAATGAAAATTAACGGGGCCAAACAGGGGCTCTATATCGTTTATTAAAAATGTATGTATTATTCATTTAATTGTTTACAATCCGTAGTAAATTGTACATTATTTTAATTGTATGAAAACAAAGTATGGGACCCTAACTAATTGCAAGTTCTTAATAGTTGATTCAGAACATGAAACTGTGGTTGAAGATTAACATTGATAGATTACACATTGATAGATTACACATTCGTCTAATTTTCATATTAGCTAGTATGCCAGGTTGCTCTGCACCTACACGGCTGAGGAAACTCTTCGATAGATGGTATTGAAGATGTACGTGGACTTTCAGGACCACACGTTGAACTTTGAGTGGCAACAAATGAGTGAATTACCCAAATGGTCATTGAACTTTATAAAAAGTTTTCATGAGATCACTGAACTTTAAAAATCACCAATTTATCACTAAACTTTGCAAAAAGTTTCCGCATGGTCATTGAACTTTGTAAAAGGTTTTCCAGGAGTCACTAAATTTAGTGATCCATGGGAAACTTTTTGCAAAGTTTAGTGATGAATTAAGCGATTTTTAAAGTTTAATGATCTCGTGGAAACCTTTTGCAAAATTCAATGATGAATTGGATGATTTTTAAAGTTCAGTGACCTCATGAAAACTTTTTATAACGTTCAGTGATCATTTGGGTAATTCACTCGCCAACAAATTATAAAATGGGAGAATATGGTCGAAAACTTTCCACGCGACTTCATTCAGTGGAGAAAATATAGTTTTAGCATATGCTACTTTTCGATAATCAGCTATATAATAAGGAGAATATAAGATTCTTGCTGCAAAGCCTCTATAAATAGTCACTGCGATTGTATGCTTACATGAAAAACTCTCCAGCTGAAATTGATCACAAGTGCATGTGTAATCGGTCAAGTCCACCATGTATGCCATATTACGTGAACATTTTATGGAGAAGCCGCAACTCATTTAGTGGTTCTACATTCAACTTTCTTACAATCACTGCAGCCTTGAATAGTTTATCCTCCTGGTGCAGCTAACACGTGCCTGTAACTCTGTGATTCCACACATCAATTTTGAAACCACTACTACAACTTGTTATGAATGTTTTCAATCATTGCGAGGATAGATAACTTTCAATCCTTCTTGAATAATACATTGAGAAACTCTGCATTATTTAACATCATCATATTATATTGACGGCCTGAAAAACGTGGCCACACCTAATGTCCAATCACTATTTTTATTAGATAATCCCATGTCAGAAATGATTTACTTTTTATTTTGATCATAAACTTATTAGTGACATTAATTTGGAAGGCCATTGGTGAATTTAACACATATCTTATATATCAATCAGCTTAAGCCTATCAACAATTTCTAGTTTGCAAGGCAAGTTTGAGGTTTGTAGAATCCATTAGCTCTCCTATATCAAAGTTAGGAAAAGTCATGCTATAATGTTTGTGATGTGAGATTCATGTTTTTTCAGGTTTATTTTTTGTTTTTTTTTTCAACTTCCTAATGCAGGAGCATACCTTAAAGAGTAATTATATTCACACCACAATTTTTATTTTTTGCATCACATTTTAATTGCACTTAATGTTCTTAATTATTGCTCTTTATAGTACTTATGTCCCTAAAATCACTATTTCGGTATGATAGTTCGCAAAGTAAGGCATTTAGATTGTGGATAATAATCCCCTTTCATGGTGATCGGCATTGGGACCATTGGAATACAAGAAAATTGCAGATTTGGATATTTGAAAAGTAGGTGATTCAACCATTCAAAAGATCTTAAAATTCATCTTTTTCAAGTAAAAATTCTTGATTCGGAATTTATGTTAAAAAATGTTACGAATTATTACACTCCCCTTAATTATTCTTTTTCAACCATGTTTCTCTCTGAAATCTCCATTTTCTCTATTAGAGGAAGCATATACATCTCTCAAAAGATGGCAAGATCCTCTCATCTAAGTTTTGTACGCTGTTTTAACATGTAAAGAGTTTGACTACGTCTCTTAACAAAAATAAGATGGTAGGATCAAGGCATAACTTTAATAAATAGGCAGAATCTTTTGTTGAAAAAAAAATGTGGGGTTGCTATAATGTTTTGTGGATTGTAGGTTGAATTAACCTTTTCGTGTGGCAAGGTATAAAACAAAAGGTTGTGTTGTTTTCCAAAAGTATTGCATATTTTATTTTATTATATTTATCCAAAGAAAATAATAAAATATTGTTTGCATCTCTATCACTGAATTTGTTCAGTCGCATTGGATTTTTTTTCACCAATGAAAACTACCAGTAGGATTATTACTCAAGAATGGGTTTAACTTTTAGGTCGGACTCTTGTCCTTTAATTTGTTGTGATGCCAAGAAACTTGTAGTATGAAATTAGTAAATTTGGTTTATGAATTCTATAAGTTATTATTATTATAATAGAAAGTTTTGTCTTCTCCTAAATGAATATTTTAATTTGTACTAACTTTAAGTGTACAAAAATAAATCGACGTGTTTGGTAAGCCAATATCTTTCTCTCGATTTCACTAATATTTATACAAGTAATTCAATCTCTTTCTCTTAATATCATGTTTCACCTCGTATTATTTATGTAAGAGTGAATTGCACAAATGGTCACTGAACTTTAAAAATCACCTAAATGTTCACTAAACTTTACAAAATATTTTCCAGAAGTCACTGAATTTTAAAAATAACCTAAATAGTCACCGAACTTTGCAAAATGTTTCCCAAAAGTTACTAAACTTTCCAACCCCTAAACCACCTTAGAGCCACCATTTATGGACCACCAAAATCCACCCTCCGGCCACTTTGGCTGCTAGACAAACATACCACCTTGAAGCTCTCGTTTCCCTCTTCACAATTCATCCAACCTCCAGTCATAACACCAACCGATGTGGCCAGAAATCCAAGCCAAATTGGGCAGCCTGAAACAACAAAAAATGAAGATTTCGGCCATTTTTCGTGCTTGATCAACCCATTTTGGCTTGAACTTTTGACAAAATCGGTTGGTGTTATGACCTGAACTTGGGGTGTGGGTTGTGAAGAGGGAAATGAGGGCTTTAAGGTGGTATGTCAGTTCTGCAGCCAAGGTGGCTAAAGGGTGGAGTTTAGGTGGTCCAAAAATGGTGACTCGCTCACTTTCGACCATTTTTGTGCTTGGTCAGCCTATTTTGGCTTGAATTTTTTGTCAAATTGATTGGTATTATGATCGGAACTTGGGTGGGTTGCAAAGAGGGAAGCGAGGGCTTCAACATGGTATGTCGGTCCAGTGGCCAAAGGGTGGATTTTGGTGGTCCATAAGTGGTGGTTCTAAGGTAGTTTAGGGGTTGAAAAGTTCAGTGACTTCTGGAAAAAATTTTGCAAAGTTTAGTGACCATTTAAATTATTTTTAAAGTTCAGTGACCTTTTGGAAACCTTTTGTAAAGTTCAGTAACTATTTGGACAATTCACTCTTTATGTAACATTATTATCCCATAGGCAAAGCTATTTAAAATATTATGAAAACTACGTCTATGTGATAGATTTGCTAATAAAAATGGATATGAATATGAACTAATTTATATTTTACGTTCTCTAATCAATTAAATAACGATTTATTTATAAGTTAGTATTATAATAAAGTTAAATATATACTTTAAAGCACCAAAAGTCCTAGTAATAAACATGGTACTTGCCCTCCGGGGCACAACTCAACTGATGGATCAATCAACATTGTCTTGCTTCCAGCGGTAGAGTAGAGAGTTCGATTTCTAGTGGGAACCTGCGGCCAAAAATTTGGTATGGAGCAATCACTGTGAAGGAGGGTCTCTTGTGCGCAAAAGTGTACAGATAATGGGGGGAACTTGCAATCCAATTGAGACATAACCCGCGATTTACCCCCTCCAAGGTTCTAGGGGCAATGGTCTTGAGGGTCCAGGATTTAGTCTGGTGTAAGTTGGGATACCTGGATATCAAAAATAAAAATAAAAAAATAAAATAAAATAAAATAAACATGGTACTTTATATTCTTCCTAGTCTACTAGACGTGTTGTTATGGACCATTTTGGACAAATGGGTCTGATTTTGAGATTTCTTGTACAATTTGTACAGTTTTATTCATTCAACAAGTTTCCTCGAAACTTCTCATCACAAATTTCAACAACTTGACAAGTTCTGAATTAAGATGAGTAATTTTCTTAATTAGCCCTTGTTTGGTATCGATTAAAATTCAGATTTTAATTTAAGTCAAAGTTAATAATTAATTTTAATCACTGGGTCTTACAACTTTTCAACCATACATTTCATCAACTTTTATCAAAATCTTCTAAAAATCTGATTTTAATTTGGATTAATTTGTCCATTAGTCAAGAAAATTTGAATACTTACTGAATGAGGGTAGCTTTTACTAAACACCACGATAGCCACCTCAGTTGAAAATTATGTTTACCATCTTCACCCTGCTCGAACTATCTTCCTTGTCTGAAACAGTTTTCTTAATCGAGTTAAATGTGAAACAGGCGGATATACTAACGATATTTTTATTTATATTTTGACTTCTTTAATATTGTTCAATTTGGGAAAGCAAATATGATATTTAACTTTATATCCTTAGAAACAATATGTTCATTAAAATTAAAGCGTGTTTGGAAAGTGTTTATTCATAGTTTAAATTATAAATTGATATAAAATGTGTGATGAATAAGCGAATTGAGTCTAAATGTGTGGATAAAAAGTGATCGGAGTGTACATAGACAGTTTATGAACTTGGGCAGACATAGGCTAAGGTTTAATTAGATTTTGTAATTGATTAAGCAAATATTTTCATATGAATTGACATTTCCCTACTTTGAATTAATAATGTCTTTTGCTTTGTCAAAATAATAATAATAATAATAATAATAATAATAATAATAATAATAATAATAATAATAATAATAATAATAATAATAATAATAATAATAATAAAATCTCGGGGAGCTCCAAATTCCATAATCAAAGCAAGATTAAAATAATAATAATGATGATAATGATAAAATAAAAATATTGATTTTCCAATAGTTTAGAGATAGAGAGTTGGATTAATTTATTAAATTCTAATTCGATTGGACCTAAAAGAAGAAAACCATCCACTCTATGATGTACAAAGATACATAGAAAATGGCATATCACCATCAATTTCATTTTAAATTATTTTTGTGAATTGATGGGATAAATATTGGCTAAAAAAAAGTTAGTAGAATATGCCAAACCATTCACGTTTAATCCTGTTTTAGGTCACTCAAAAAAAAATAAATGGTAGTCTTATTAAAATACCCAAATATTACTAACATTCATGCATATATACAGACATATTAGACTCACTTCCGTGTCATCAAAGAAAGGTGTAAACGGGCAAGTCTGGTTTGTATTGTAGCCAATTCCCTTTGTGTTCACAAACAGCTCTTTCTTGTTCTCACTATTCTTCTAACAGTTGGGAAGAATGGGCATTAGAAAGAAACTGCAAGCTGTTCTTGGAAAAGGCTTCAGAACCTCAAAATTCAGATTCAAAATCAACCTCGCCATTGCCCGGCTTTCAGTTCTCAAGAACCAGCGCCGAGCACGCTACTCCATTGCACGGTCTGATGTGGTAGAGTTGCTTAAACTTGGCAACCATGAGAGTGCTCTTCTTAGGGTAATTTCATCAACTCAGTAATCACTTAATTCTCAATCATACTTTGACTTACTTGAATGTGCTTTTTTTGTGTGTGAAATGATGGTTTTTGATAGGTTGAGCTAGTGATCATGGAGCAGAATATGTTGGATGTGTTTGCTATTATTGAAGGCTACTGTCATCTGTTGATAGAGAGGGCTAACCTCATAGAACAAGAAAAGTTGGTTTCTATTTGGTTTTGACTTTTTCACGGATTTTTTAAGAATTATTGAAACGTTTTCATATATATTTAAGAGGGTTATTATTCTTCCTGGTAGAGTATGTCCTGATGAGTTGAAGGAAGCCGTATCAAGCTTAGTTTATGCGGCCACAAGGTGCGGGGAACTCCCAGAACTTCAAGAGATACGAGCAATTTTCACAGCGCAATTCGGGAAAGAATTTGCAGCTAATGCTGCTGAACTGCGCAATGGATGCATAGTAAATCCAAAGGCAGGCTACTTATCATTTCAACACTAATACAGTTAAGAGCTAAGATAAATTATATGCTAATTTCATTTATGTACAGATAGTACAGAAATTGTTGACTAGGGTGCCAAGCTTGGAGGAAAAATTGAAGGTTCTCAAGGAGATTGGTTCAGAGTACAACATTGATATACAAATTGAAAAGGCAGCTTCTGTCGTTCCAGTGGTATGGATATTATTTTGACAACATTTGAGTTTATTGGACAATCTAATACAAATTTGGGATGATCAACATACCCAGAAACAAAAAATTCGACATGGCTGATAGTGCTGATTAGGTCACTTCAGTGTCGTAGAATATGATTAGGTTCCACAAAATCCAACATTGTGAACATTTATTGATTACTTGGTTATATGCTATTTTCAGGTAAATCTAGAATCAGGTACAAAAAATCAGCAAGAGTCATCCCGAATAACCACATCAGGAGTCTCTAATCCAGAAGAGAACAGGCGAATGTGGCCTGAAGATATAGAAACGGTTGAAATTTTTTCTGATTCGGTGAAAATGCGGAGAAGGTACACTGATGTAGCTGATGCAGCCCAAGCAGCTTATGAGTCTGCATCTTATGCAGCAGCAGCTGCGAGAGCTGCTGTGGAACTGTCACGGTCTGAATCAACTGATCCTGATGGTCCTAACAGTCCTAATGTCCAGGAAAGAATTGAGCCAACGAACTCTAAAATTTTTACGAGGGAGAAAGCGGTTGCCAGATTCATGGATGCAAAAGTTGATCCGATATTCAAGAAAACCCACCCAATACAAAACTACAGTTTCAGTTCTGGTATTGAGAAAAAGACAGGACACTATAAGAATGGAACAGAATTTAAGATATCGCTATCTGGTTCAAGTTCTGATTCAGCTGACGACTATGAGGAAACTAAGATGTTCGTTGGTGAAGAGGGCCGACTGGGGAAGGAAAAAGTTCTTGATGGAACTGATGATGAAACTGCATATATAAGTAGAACTCCAAGGTCAGAGACTTATTTCATGGATACCAGTATAAAGGATGATATCCTGGAAGGTAGGAGCACAAAACCTTATTGTTCATCCCACAAGAATTTCCTTTTAAGATCTCAAACTGTATTGACAATGGAGTCCGGGCCTGACAATTCAAAGAAGCACTTTGCTGAAGAAATCAGGACTCAAGGTGCACAGCATTTGAATGTCCACAAGAGACCAATCTCTGTAAGGACTAGACAGGCATAAGGCCAGTAACAACCACACAAACTACAGAAGAGGATATATATATAGTCACTGCAACAACTTATGAGAGTTTAATTTAAATAGCAAATACTTTATTTTTCTCATATTATGAGAGTTCAATGTAAATAGCAAATACTTTATTTTTCTCATCATGATATTTCTTGAAAACTATGTAATGGATCTGATGGGTGGCACTTTGTTATATTTCTTTTTTTCAAATGTAAAGCACACAATACTGACAATCTTTATTAGATTTACAAATTTCAATAAAATGCTAATATCACTAACTTCTGAACACAGACAATCTCTTACTGAACTCCAGTGTGATTGGAGGACACAAGATCGACATTATGAGGAGGAAACATGCAGTTTAGAAGCTACTCATATTAACATCTGCTATCATGTAAGAGAAGAACATTAATATTCTCAGCAATTTTAAAATTTGTATATTAGAAGAGATTTCCTTATCAGCAGAGATAAAATAACGTCAACAACGGCTAGATGAACCTAACATGCTAGTTATATTTGGAAGTACAATCATGTCCAAGTGGTTAGCTTATATAATGTTAGGGTACGATGTAGACGAAAAGGTAGTCTAGTGCAATAACTCAATAGCACAAAAGAAGGAAAGGGGGGGGGGGGGGGGGGGGGGGAAAAAAAAAAGCACATTGTTATTACATTTAGCACCTGTTGTTTGAAAAGATTTAGCCCATGTTTGGTATCGATTAAAATTCAGATTTTAATTTAAGTCAAAGTTAATAATTAATTTTAATCACTGGGTCTTACAACTTTTCAACCATACATTTCATCAACTTTTATCAAAATCTTCTAAAAATCTGATTTTAATTTGGATTAATTTGTCCATTAGTCAAGAAAATTTGAATACTTACTGAATGAGGGTAGCTTTTACTAAACACCACGATAGCCACCTCAGTTGAAAATTATGTTTACCATCTTCACCCTGCTCGAACTATCTTCCTTGTCTGAAACAGATGTTGGGCAACCACACACATGCATTATTATCTGGACTTCTCACCTGTTCTCAGTTAACAAAATTCAAATACAAAGTTCTGCAGATCAGCTCAAGAAATCTTAATTCTGGTTTCTAGATTCTATTTGTTAATATTTGAACAAAGCATGGCATAATCATGTTCAAAAGAGCATATAATCTGAGTTTAAGATAATTTTTGTGGCCAATATGCTATTTACGAGCACCTGCCAAAAAAATATAAAAATCTATCGTAGTAAAGATACTTCCCAACATGATAGTGCACCGGATTGCCTTGGCATAGACCCCAAGTCAGGAGCCAGAAGGAGAATAATCATATGAAATGATAAGCAAATAATAAGAACGTCTGCTTACGTACTTTCTGTTCTATGATGCTTAATATATAAGTATATCAAATTGGTAGTTATTTGTCAATCATAAAAAACTTTAACCCATAATTATTAAAATTGGACTAGACCAGCCAGTTCAACCGAAAATCAGTAACTGGACAACGACCGATCCGGTTAGCTACAGGTCGAGGTGCATGATGGGTAGTTATCTCTCAAATAGGTTGCTCCGGATCCTCAACAATCTGAAATTTCAAAACTCTGCATAAATTAACCATAGAGGAACATGCTTTAAACAGCTTCTCAGTTCAATTATATTGGCCCAAATTTGAATCACAGGTACAATATAGTACGAAATCAACTTAAACTCAAAAATGTTACATTAAAGACTAAACAAGTGACAACCCTATACTGGTGTCTAGGACAAATTGCCACCACTCTGTTGCCACAGATTGATAATATCAGTGGCCTGATTAAGAAGTATAATCATTTTCTTCTGGGATATCCATGGTTTACTCTCTAGAGTTGTCTTCAGCTCTTCCCATGCGTCCTTCCTTGGCCAAAAGAAGTAAGGACTCAAAGGGACGGTGCCATAGCCCGGTATCATCTGATCGAGGCAAAGACCAATGTTCTTTTCCATCCAAATGAACTTCAATACCAATCTAGGCTTCTCCACTGATTTAACCTCCACTCCTAGCTTCTGAAAATTCATAGATAAAAAAGAGAAAAAAAATTGAATGGGGATCGGATTGATGATAAAATACAATCCCCAGCCGCAAACAATGTTTCCATTGGTGATGCAAAAATGAAAAAATTTTGTTTGCTTCTCCACTTAGCGACTTCAAACCAGTGAGTCGGTTAAAATTTTGTAGGTGCAAATAATTAAACACACACGTTATCAATAAGAATTCATATAACAAATATATAGTCTCAAGAAAAATTCTTTCTTTCATGCCGTTCGGTTGAAAACTAAACTTAAAGGAATATGTGCCATCTCTAACAGTTGAGATTTTAGATGTGGCAATTCAATATGGTATTGGAGCACGAAGGTCTTGATTTTAAGGTTTATCACCACCAATTTATGAAAATTGTAATGCGCCTTTGATTTAAAAAATCCGATCTGCATAGGGGTAGTTTGAAGACTAAACAAATATGTATAAATAACTGTGTTTCCCCGACAATTAAGCTTTTAGACTCAACGGTGGCAATTATAATAGGACTCATACCGTCCTGTAAATTAATAACTTAAAAATCAATTAATTATATGCATACTGACTCCGAAGTTGCAATAACTAAAATGAAATGCACATAGGATTAGTGCGTCGAACCTCAGATTTTTGTGCAAGCTCAGAGTCCGAAACCTCAGTGGGTGTTTCCGCAGGAGCTAATTCTGAGGCGGCGGCAGCATTAAGCCTTTGAATTCTACCAGTAGGTCTAATTTTTAGGCCAAGATGGGTTGAGGAATGCAAAGAGGAAGCTCTGGGTTTCAATGAATTTGAGGTTTTGATGGGTGTAAAACAGGGCTTCTGGGAAGTAAAAGAAGGGAATGACAAAATGCTCTTCGCACTTGGTTGAACTGGAATCGACAACATCATGCTCTTCAGTCTTTATACCCACACGCAGAGTCGAGAGAGACGGAGACGGAGAGAATTTCTATTTATGAAAGGAAGCCATTGCCATTGACAAATGAATAAAACTCCCAGTGTAACGTGGATAAGGTATCAGCCATCTGGGCACTGGGCCGATATTAATGGGCCAAACTTAGAAATGTATGTCCGGTGACATAATGAGCCATACTTTACAAGGGCCGGTCCAATGGCTGGCTGGCTAGACTCGATCTATTTGACACTACCAGATAGGAATTTTAAGTGGGACGAGTCGCTTGTCACCTCGACTCACATCCCTGACAAGTTGTAAGCACGAGCAAGCGGATTTTTAGCTACAAAATGTATTTTTTGGCTTAAAAAAGGTTGGAAGTGGATCCACAAAATGCTAAAAATCACTTTGTGACATTTTATTGAAGAACTGATTTGAAATGTGCATGATGTGACGTTAATATTTTATCACAATATTATGATCCATATTGTCCTCTTTTCTTGTTCTTGGTGTAACTATTTGGTGTAACTATTTATCCAAGACAAACAACCATTTATTTTGTATCAAAGAGTTTTTTTCTTCAGCCGCCCATTTCAGTTTGTGTTTTAAAAAGGACAAAAATCTATCTCATTTTATAAACTTTAAACTCATTCTGCCCTTATAATTCTAATTGTACTCGAAGAAAGTAGAATATTTTTATAAATGAGAATGATCGCTAAAGCCAGTTCTTTAGTCAGCAATGAAAGATTGCTAATCTATAGAAGCCTGGAAGGACAAAATGATGAAGGCAGTGGATGCATGTTTTTCCAATCAATACGTCAAAAATTTGAGCAGTTTTGGAATGATATTAGGAATTTCTCTAAGACAGCAATTGAGATGGGCCGGAATGATCCCCGGAAAATCATGCATGCCATCAAGATGGGATTGGCATTGTCCCTTGTATCTCTCCTCATTTTCTGGAAAGAGCCTTTTGCTGATGTTGCTCAGTATTCAATCTGGGCAGTTCTCACAGTCATTGTAATGTTTGAGTTCAGCATAGGTATGTTACATTTGACACGAATTATTTTTGGTTTAAGAATTTCTTTCTAGTTGGTCCAGAAGAAATATGAGATCCTATTTCTCTAAAGAATATGGGATTCGACTTCTGGCAGCTGCTTATGCAGTCTACATTCATCTTAGCTTTCAACCGGCGAGGTTAATCTTGTTATTTGCTTCTTTCTTGTATCATGGTTTTGCCTTAAATATAGGAGCAACCTTTATTAAAGGATTCAACCGTGGATTAGGAACATTTGGTGCTGCGGTACTCGCATTTTGCTTCGGCGAGTTAGCTATTTTGGCTGGAAAGTTGGAGAAAGTGGTAATTGTCATAAGTATTTTCCTCATAGGTATGCTTCTCTTCAACCACCTTGTCCAAAAGCCTGGAGCTTTAAGTTGTTAAGAGAGACACATTTATTTATTCAAAGTTAGACCCCGTTTAACAAAATTTTTTCGAGATTATAAGTTGGTCGAACTTCATTTTTAACCACACATTTTATTCGACCCACAACTTTTTTTCCCACTTTTTAACCACACATTTTATGGAACTTCACTCAAAAAGCTTTGTCAAACTGGGGCTTTAACCACTTGGTCCACTTCTACACATCTAATATCAATATCCATATTGAAATTCTACCTCACTATGATTGTTCTTGTGTGGCAGCTTCATTGTCATCGTACTTGAAACTCTACCCGACAATGGCAGCTTATGAATATGGATATCGAGTATTTTCATTGACATATTGCATCCTCATGTTGGCTGGAAACAGGACAAGGTCATATACAGAAGCTGCTCTTACTCGGTTAATACTCATTGCACTTGGAGCGGTTGTCTGTTTTCTTGTGAACATTTTTATTTACCCGATATGGGCAGGCGAAGATTTGCACCGCTTGGTGGTAAAGAATTTCAAGGACCTTGCAGCAGCTTTGGAAGGTTGTATGACTTATAACAAAAAAGTTGCTTTTCTCCAAGGATTAATTTTAGTAAAGAGATTTTTATATTTTTCCTCTACTCAAAGAACAAAGTTGTAAGAATTCTGTAGGCTGTGTTAATGGCTACTTGCAATGCGTGGAATATGAAAGAATCCCCTCAAAAATCCTCACTTACCAGCCATCTGATGATCCATTATATAGCGGCTACAGATCAGTTGTGGAATCAACGAGTAGAGAGCAAACACTGGTATGGACTAGACTAGAGATCATTTCAATTTGCTTAATGGTGGCTTAATAGTGAGTAGACAGCGCGTTTTCACACTGATATTGATGCCGATTGCTTGTTTTCTGATAGCTTTTCTTTTTATTTCACAATCCAAGAGGCTAATCGTAAGAAATCATGAATCTGAAAATATTTTTGATTGAGCAGCTAGGTTTTGCTATCTGGGAACCACCTCATGGATGCTATAAAAAGCTTGATTATCCATGGAGAAACTATGTCAAAGTGAGTGGTGCACTGAGGCATTGTGCATTCATGGTCATGGCGCTACATGGATGCCTCCTCTCTGAAATTCAGGTAAATAAAAGTAGAACTTCGAAGATACATAACTTCTGTAAGTTATTGATTTATTATTTTCAGAATTTCTTAACAAGAAAGAATCAGCAAAAGGTTTAGTTCATTTATGCTTAGGCACCACCAGAAAAGAGGCAGGCTTTCTGCAGGGAACTTAAAAGGGTTGGTGCAGAGGGTGCAAAAGTTTTACACGTGCTGGGGAGCAAAATCGAGACTATGCAAAAGTTGAACTCAGATGACATACTCGAACAAGTTCACGAGGCAGCCCAACAGTTGCAGAAGAGAATAGATCAAAAATCATATCTTCTAGTCAAATCAGAAACCTGGGAAATTGGTAATCGCTCTCAAGAAGTAGCAGATAATGAGAATGTTCCCACTGAAAATGATGATCATCAAGAGTTGCATTTAGTGCTTAAGTCCCTTAGTGAAACTGTACTTGATCCGAGATCAATGCCAATGTTGACATCAAATTTGGACACAAAAGACATGACGACTTACACGTTAAGGAAGCAAGTGCCTTGGCCTTCGTGTTTTGCCCTCGACAATGAATCTTTGATTCGGAAGGATGAAATCAAGACATATGAAAGTGCGAGTGCTTTGTCTTTGGCGACATTTGCATCCCTTCTGATTGAATTCGTTGCAAGGCTTCAAAATCTAGTTGATTCTTTTGAAGAATTAAGCGAAAAGGCAGAGTTTAAAGAAGTATTAGCCAGATAACAAGCAACATACAAAGAATGTGCTTCATTGTAGTTTACCAGGTTGGTAATATGCTTCAGGATCAAGAACTGATTTCTTGACAATCAGTAATTTTATCATATTATACGTATCAAGTCTAAAAAAGCAGTATGACGTGAGTGCATGAAAGATATTGTAATCTAATTTAACATACTATATGTATCAAGTCTAAATTGCATTATCTGATCCATATTTTCGTCCAAAAAAATCGTTAAGAGACAATAAGAAAACTTAGTTGTCCCGCTTATTTTGAATAAGTAAATAAAGAATAAAAAAAATCGCGACGATATATTTGTTCTCATTTTAAAACATTCTAACAAAATTTTTAGACAAAAATCGTAATTAAGGATAATATGTGATAATTAATGACATACTATATGTATCAAGTCTAAATTGCATTATCTGATCCATATTTTCGTCCAAAAAAATCGTTAAGAGACAATAAGAAAACTTAGTTGTCCCGCTTATTTTGAATAAGTAAATAAAGAATAAAAAAAATCGCAACGATATATTTGTTCTCATTTTAAAACATTCTAACAAAATTTTTAGACAAAAATCGTAATTAAGGATAATATGTGATAATTAATGGAAGGTTAAGTTTAAGAATACTATTATAAAATATTTGACATAAATTTGATAATGAATAAATATTAAGGACCTTTTATGCAATTAAAATATGGTGCAGGTATAAAAGATATGATGTCAATATATTCAACATTTTCAAAAAGAGAAGGGGTTCCCTGCAATAATCAAATAACTTGTGGTTTGCTATCCAGGATACGATCGACCAGTTCGATCAGAAAATCGATAAATTGAACCTTGAACTGGCCCAATAGTGATAAGACAACTTGACAATTAACATGATAAAGAAACAGTCAAACTTGCCAAAACTCTAATAGAATCAAGTAAATTCGAACTAGTTTTATCGTTGAACAGGTTTTGGGTAAACACATTTTTTTCAAAAAAATTCTAAAGTTGTCGTGAAAGTGTTTTGAACAAGAGATCTAGAGTTATCGGATTCAACCCATTCATTGACCTGAAATACTGATTCTTTGGATCTTTGGTTTAACGGCGAGATCATTATTTGATGCAAATATAATTAAAATGGAAAATAAATGTATAAAACAACTAGAAATTAATACATTTCCATTTTTAAAATATTTTGAATTAAATTTGTACAATCCGCCAATTTAACCATTGATCCAGACCAATAACCCGGTTCTCCAGTGATTCAACCGACCAGTGAGCGGGTCGATCCGCTAACTATGGATAATTTGCTCTTCGTCAAATTAACAAATTCAAATAGGCAAACTGAAAGGAATTAATTCTTCCACTAGTCATTGAAATTATGTTCATATCTTTGATTGATAGCTGAAGTTTATAATGTCGAGTTTTGGTCACTGAACTTAGGTCCATGTTTGCAATTGCTCACTGAAGTTTAAAATGTCGAGTTTTGACCATTGAATTTTGAAAAATGTTGTACATTACTCACTGAATTTTGAAAAATATTGTACATTACTCACTAAATTTTGAAAAATGATGTACATTATTCACAATAAACTCATTATTTTTCAAAATTCAACAGTTATGCTAGTGATCAACGTGCGGCATATTTCAAAGTTCAATGATCAAAACTAGACATTTTAAATTTCAGTGAGCAATCTAAGATATAGACCCAAATTCAATAAGCAATCGAAGATATTGACCTAAGTTTGGTGATCAAAATTCAATTTTTTAAACTTCAGTGACCAATTAAAGGCATGGACCAAAGTTCAATGACCAGTTGAACAATTAGCTCAACTGAAAGTTTTGAGCCCTAGTTCTTTACTTCCGTACTGTGTAGAATCCATTCTCATTCAGCTCTCTGTGTTACTGCACGTAATGGCTCCTACCAACAGCCCACCTGCTTTTGAAAAAGAACAGGTATTTCTTACATGTTAATACACGTATATATATTATAACTGTCGTTGCCACAGTTTTTTCCCCATTTTTTGGGATTTTAATTTTATTTTTGATAAATTTCTGTGCAGATATTTGGAATGGCAGAGAAAGAGATGGAATACAGAGTGGAATTGTTTAATAAGTAGGAAATCCGGGTTTATGCATTCGGATTTGCTTTTGCATATTACAGTAATTTTGTTTAAAGTACTGTTTTATTGGTCGGTTAATCGGCCGCAAAAAATTGTTCGGCTGCTGGAATTTCTGCCATTAATTATTTACTCTGCTGATGTTTGTTTATACTTCTGGGTGCTTGGAAAATAGCCTGAATAAGAGAACTGAAAAAAGCATGATTACCAATTGCGTTAGCATTTCATTTATTATTGACATTTGCAATGTCATCCATCTGTTCATGCATAATTTATTTGATTTTCACTTTGTTCTTATTCAGGCTTACGCACACATGTTTCAACAAATGCATTGAGAACAAGTACGTATTCTTAGTTCCTGGTAGCTTAATTACTTCTGTAAGCATGATTGAATTACTGCTCTATAAAATTGCAGACCAGAGCAGTTTATAACTTATTTTCACTTATAGAGAATGATTCATTTTGGTTGATGTGCTTAGCAGAAGTGTAACTCACACCTTTTCAGGTACAAGGAATCTGAGTTAAACATGGGCGAAAACAGTTGCATTGATCGATGCGTTTCAAAATATTGGCAGGTGAATTGATGGTTTTACTCTCTTTCTATATTTAGTTTTTGGGTGTGAATGCGTTTAAACAAGCGTCAGGCCTTGCAAATGATTTATTGAATATATTATTATTTTACATCTTGCACAGCTCTGTACTTGTTACTGCACAATCAGATAATGTGAAAATGCTGAGTGCCTTAATGATGGTTTAAATATGGTTCCATGTGCCATTTTGGTTTCGAAATAATGCCACCTCTCCTGCTTTCCATGGAGATACATGAGTGAAATTTTAAATGGGGATGTAGTAGAGGTAGAGAAAGTAGTATATTTGAGATTCAATTTAAAATTATCGCTAGAAATATGTTGTCAAAGATGATAGAAATATATGAAATCTGAACATTAGCTCAATGGCCTGTGATAGGATGTCTAATTTACTGATTGGCCTAGACATACTGAAAGAGATTGCAGGTTTGCAAGTATTCATAATTGCCCCTAGTACGTGGATCCCTATTGTTTGTAAGACGTGAATGACCAGAGGACTTTCTAGTTAATGTAAAACGTCGACTCTGGCTGGGAGGTTGTCACGAGGACACATTAGCTTATTCAAAGAACTCTGTCATGAGAATAGATATAATGAAGGTAAAGGAATTGCGAAAGTTTTGATTTGCCATTATGATCACTTTTAACCCAATCGAAAGTAAGCTCGATTCAAAGCAAATAGACAAGCGCGAGACAAGGTTGAGTTAGGGTTCAAGGTGTAGATCAGGTTCACTCTGCCCTTTGTTTTCTCTGCAGATTCTTTCAAATACTCTAGAGTTGTATGGGAAAAAAAAATGGTAATAATAAAAACTCTAGAGTAATGGAGGTGTGCAATGGCATGTACCAACATATTCTTGTCAAAAGCACTTCTCTTGTGTTTTTGAGTTTTTTTTTTATCCGACCCAGACTGTATGGGGAAGAATGTGGAGATCAGAAGCAAAAAAGGAGAGTCAAACAAAGCCAAGTAGGTGAGTACTCATCAAGAGAGCTGCTGTGCACAAGCAGCTATTTAGAGACCAAAACTTGAGCTGATCAAAGATGCATTCCAAACCAACCTGGTCTTTCCTCTGGGACTATGAGTATTTGCTGCTTAATTGAGTGGATAGAAGAGTTTGAGCACAGTCCAAGGAAGGTGTTGCTCTAGAAGGGAATATATATCATAGAAGTTTGTGCTTAATTGAAAAGCATGGCATCTGCAGATAGTTTGCCTACTCTTAGGGGTTGTTTGAGCCCTATTTTTCTTAAACAATACATTTTGAAATAGTGTTATGATGTGGAGAATGTGTGGTTAAAAAATAAAGAAAAGTTTTGGATTTGCGTGTAATATTATTTTATTGAAAAATATGTGGTTGAAATGATGTCAAATCACTGTTGAAAAATGTATTTTGATGAAAGAATGAGCCTCAAACAAGCTGTTATACTACACAGTAGAACCAAGTCAAGATGGATGATTTAGAACTTAGAAGGGCTTGGATCACTTATATGGAACTGGGATTATGCTAAGATAGGAAATATGATTAGGTCAGAATGAGACTTTCAAGAAGCCAGGGTATAATGTGACCTTTCAAGAATGAAGAAGTAGCCTAGCCGAAGGTGGAGAATTCTGCTTTTATAGAACCTTGGACATTTTAGGAGACTAGTAAATAATAAGAATGGCGAACTCAAACTAGAACCTCATCCTTCAAAGGTTTGGTCTATATTTGCCCATTCTTAAGGGTTAGAGTAATAATAGTTTCTTGCTGATTCTTTAAACAGTCATGGTTTCTTTGCATTGAATAGGATTTGGTCGATGAGCCTTCTCTGTTGTTCTTTTATTTGCTTAATGACTGTAATGTTGAGAGAATCCTCTTTGCATATAATTGGGAACGTGTGACTTAACATAATCTCTTTAAAATGCCAACCCGGATTCTTTGAACCATTTACTCATAGAATTATGCTACAAGTACAGCAATTTTGACATCATGGTTGACAGCCCTCTCACGTACAAGAGGTGGAGCCCATGATTAAAATAATTGTGGGCCCCACAATTGTGAGTGAGCTGTCAAAACGAGTGTCAGCATTATTCTTACTCATGTTCTTGAATCTTATTCTGACTGATGCTTTTTAAATTCCTTCTTCAATGTGTCAAATTGTTTTCTGCAGGTGACTAATCTAGTTGGCCAACTGCTTGGTAACAATCGACCACCAATGTGAAGGAGATCATTTTTGCACCTGACGTTTGGAGTCGACATAGATTCACATGGTTTATGTTATGATGTGTGACTTAATTTAAATTTAAGAAATCAATGCTGACAGTATTAACCTGCTTGCAAATCATATTTATATGTATACTATTTTTTCATCCATGTTTTGACCTATTGATATATTTATAATTTTAATGATCGATTGTCGAAGACAAATGATTTTTTGTTAATGATTATAATTGTAGCATTCAAGGAAAATCTTATCACTAGCATTTGAAAAAGAATTATTGCTTTTTCCACATAAATCAACATTATCATTTCAGAGTTGATGGGATACATAATTATTGTTATTGCTACATAGTCAAGAACCTATATAAATTTGCAGGGCCCATCACGTGTGATGTTGGAATTCAAATCTGTAAAATTTTCTTCTATGCTCATCTCAAGTCTCAACTCTACCTTTGTTACATAGTAATGGTTATTAATTTTGGATAAACGAGAAGGATTATGGTAAGTGACGATTATTGTAAAATTGTCACAACAAAGAAGAATTTTAACTCTAAATTATGAAGGAAGAGTTTAATGGGAATCCGAAAATAAAGACAATGCGTTTGGTTGCCTTAAACAGTAAGTTAAATTTTACTTTATATAAGTTCAATTAATCTATTTGTACAAAGATTTTGTACAACATTGTTGACAATGATGGGTGTGGCAAAAAAGTATTGATTGAAAATATGGGTTATTTTTCAAACTGTCTAATGATAACATGTCATGTGGTGGATTGTCAACAATGTTATCAAATTCATTGTACATAAAACATTGCTCATATAAGTTACTTGTGTTGTCAAACCCACAAAATCACAGAATAGTATGGAGGAAAAAAGGCTTGTGGAGAACATGATAAACGAGGAATGCAAAACAACTTAAATTGAGAAAGCTGAAGTTTACAAAAACAACAATTTAAGCAATCAATTTTAAATAATCCTTTGATGTTTGACACAGGGAATTAAAAGGTTAAATACATGAAAATTAAATTAAAAATGGAGAAACTATACACTTTTAATTTTTGTTCCTTTTGGCTTCCATATTTGTGGCTTCTTTAAGTAATTCTTGAGCATCATTTTCCATCCCAAGGCTAAAAAGGGAAGCTGCTTGAAGGTAAAAAGCAGTAGGCCACTCAGGAGATATAACCTGTGCTTGCATAGCATCTCCCATAGCTTCATTAAGCATGTCACTCATCAAATAAGATAAGCAGCGTCGAGCATAGACAGTTGGCGATACCATGGTCCCACCATCAATGAACTACATGAAAAAAATGACAATCTTTTAACAAATTGTCTGAAACCATGTGTATTCCTTGATCATCCGAGATAAAAAGGAAAAATATGGTATGGTGATAGCGGTATCATGGAATTTGATAAATGTCTGCTCAATTGATATGTATGTCATGTTTCATAAGAACTATTTAGCAAATTTTGGCATTTCAAGGTTTTTAAGAAGAGTAATACCATTCATCACAATTGGAGTGAAACACCCATCTAAGCGGCAATTACATGACATTGAATAGATTTATTTAAATACAAAGTCACAAAACTCATTTAATTATATATATAAAATGTAGTCACCTAAACTGATGCTCTAGATAGATTCTTTTTTATTTCCTTTATTTATTTTTATTTTTTTTTCAGAATGGTCCAAAATAGCTTTTGATGCTTACACCAACTAGTTTTATCAAAATATGAGGCCTGAATTTAGGGAGGCTTTCAAATTGTGTCATTGCTGGAACTTATACTTGATTTTCAATGATATGTGAACAATTCAAGTGAGAGGCCAATGCAGAGAAGGGCTTACCTGTGTGTAGCAATCAATGGCAGTTGTGAAATCTTTGGCTCGAAAAGCGGCATCACCATGCTTCTTAGAATTCAAGGTCTCCTGCATTTGATTTGTCCACACTTGAAACGATAACTGCAAGGATAGAATCTTTAAATTTATTAGTGATGATTAATGTGAGAAAATCTGTCTGCTAATGCTGCCTAATAACTGCTAGGATATTTGAATCGCCTAAGCTAAAAGCTTAATCTCCTGGAAAAGGGACACATTTTTTATTTAAATTTAGTCTTCAACTCGCCCCCACATGTATAGGCGGGATTCATTTTTTCACCAAAAGCTCACCCCTCATTTTCTACCTGGGGACCACCACACATGTTTTTGTTTGTAATAACATGTAAACTAGACATGACTTGACCTTCTTTAGACAGAAGTGTCTTCCTAATTGGAGTAGCACATTAAAGCAAGATTTCAAATTGATTTGGCGCAAGCAAGATTTGAATGACTCGTTGGCATTAGTACTTTACTCTATGATATTGGTTCAACGTTTCTGCACGATTTGTAAGACACGGTCAATAGTCAAATTGTGGGAGGACGGAAGATCAGAAATTAGAGATAAATAAATGAAAAACATTTATGCAGATGATTATACGGATCACAGAGATACTAAAAGAGAGAGAACCATGTATAAGTCGCATTAATTTAAAAGTATGAAAACTGATCAATCCTGAGAAGGCAAAACAATAACTTGGAAGATGCAAACCTCATTGGTGATCCCTTCATCATCTTTGTATCCAGTTTTGTCCAATATTTCGTGTATAGCAGTAAGGTCCATTCTAAAGCATGCTTCGCCCAAAGGCGTCAACAACAATGGCTGTTCGGAATTTGCATTTCCATGTGGAATGCCCAGTAAAACGTGTGACGGGACCTGATTGACAGATCAAAGAGAAAGCACTCTTCAGGTCTAAAGGATTAACAGACTTCTGACTCATTGAGAATTTTCAAGTGTGGATGCACCACCACAGTTTGTAGTGCCCTTTCTATTTTCTGATACTTGATGATTGGGTAACAAAAGTTAATTGTCTACTCTCGGGAAAAATAAAAAGAAAAGAAAAGATGAAAAAAATCATAGATGTAACCTTCCTCTTAATTATACAGGTAAAGTTCATGAGTGATCAAGGGAAAGAAAATTTGCATGACAACAAGAATCTAAGTTATGAAATATTTGAAGTGAAAATTTATGATTACTTATTTCCATCAGTATTGCAAGCAAACAAGATCAGTACCAAGAAAGAAAATACTGTATTAGAAATTAACTGGAAATGGGTTTTAAATACTTCAGTAATTTTTCAAACGTCTGCAAACAATTGTACCTCAAGCAAAGATAACTTCAAATGACATTTCCATACCTCGTCTTCTTTCTGAAGAGATACGAGAGAAGTGACTAGAGACTTAGCATTGGGTCTTTCTCGAGCTTCATATTGCAAACAACGGGTAGCCAAGCGCACCAACTCAGTTCCATCATCATTTGAAAAATGGCCCTCTAAACAAGAATCCATGAGCATCAGAAAATTCTTGCCACGAATGAGATCAAGTGCCTGTAGGAAGACTGTAATTAATCAAACTTGCCATGACGAGAGTCGTTTAACAGAATGCCATCCTGTGGACAAACTGTCTCCTAAAGAATGGCAAAAGATACAAACTAAATATTGCCAATTGAGAACAATAGTATCTAACGCAGACGATGACAACAACAAACAAACCGAACAGGTCTTCCAAGACCTTTGGATTACACCCAATCTATTCCAATCAGTCCCTCAATAAATCACAGTATGTCATGAGCTTTTCTCCTCTCTAATTTGTGCAATCTTGAATCTTTCCAATACAATTAATCTTACAAATAGGAATGGCAACACACTCCCTCCATATCTTGCATCTTTTTACTATTTAAAAGCTCATTAAGTAGTTCGATAAGTTAAACTTTAAGGGCAGGGAAGTAAAAAGATATCAACCAAGATAGAGATAGATTCTACTATTCTGATCTTTAACAATCAAGAACTTACATGGCTTGGAGGTATATGCTTTCCACTTAGAAGATCTAGCAACATGGTTCCAAAACTGTAAACTACACTCTCTGGTGTCACTCTTCCTGCCACACAAATAAACAAGTCAACAATTCGTACAAGCTGTACACTAACATGGGAAAATGTGCTGGTAATATCTCAAGCCTTCATGCTCAAGATCGCAGGGATTTGAGATCTTCGAAAAAGATGATCATGATTTCATCCATTGGATAGGATCGAGGAAGAAAACAAGTTAAATTCTTGCATGAGTACTGTGTATTGCTTTCTAGCTGCATACCAGTTCTCAAGTACTCTGGAGGAGTGAAAGCTAGGTTTGTACTATAACTTTTGCCATCTCTACTATTCTTCATCAAGCCAAAGCAAGAGAGCCTGGGGTTACCATCCTGTCGATGAGTAACTTTACATAAGAGCTAGACAATATCCAACCTTTTACAAGGTAATACAAAATCATATATACGGTACATTTTACCTTATCAAACAAGACTCTGTAAGCATTAAGATCGTGATACAATGCCCGTCCCTTGCTACTGCAGTACTCCAGAGCTTGAGCCAAATATAAAGACACCCTCAACCTCATTGCCCATTTCATGGGCTGGTTCTCCCCTATCCCAATTCCACAATTAATAAAGAACAATAACCATGGCGTACAAAACAGTTGGGCACAAGAAAACATGAGCAAAAATTGGGGGAAAATCATAAAATCACAAATATAATTAGCAGCATCATAAGCTTATACTTTTAATCATGAATATCGTTAATATTATGAGCAGCATCATGAGCTTTAATACTTTTTTATCAAAGCTTTTAACATTATAGAGAATGCGCAAAAGTGTGATGTCAGCCCAATAACCAAGCATTTGGCTTTTCTATCCCTGATTCCATCCTCATCCGCCTCCAAACGGATATTTAAGTATTATAAATATAAATCAAATATTTAAATATTTTCCTACACATTTTCAATGAGAATTCATAACATTTCTGTTTTAGAATTGCCATCGATTCTTTCCTCGGATAAGATCCACCTCTTTCGCCTACCAAGAATTATAGCTATGTAATGTACATACTCACAATGAAATAAATGCTTTGCCAGTGTCTCATGCGGCATGAATTCTGCCACCAACAATCTCTCATCCCCTTCGTAGCAACATCCTATCAGATTCGCCAAGCGCTCACTTCTCAGATTCCCCACAGTGCGGGCTTCATCCTACAATAACCCATCACAAATTAGCATAAACAGTAAAAACAAAAACTTTCGCTCATGAATTTCAAGTTAAGCGCAAAAATTTAATCTTGATTCTTAATAACAAATATCCCAAAAATGCAAGAGTGCCCAGTGCATAATTCTTGTGGGGAAAGCTATGTAGCCTTGGGATTAATCCGATGCTCAACAAATCCAGACATTCACAGTCCGAAAAATTGCAAAAACAAACAATAAACTAGAACAGATGCACAAAAACTTGATTGATTAATTACTAACAATGAATTGACGAGAATCAGGCCAAGCAGATTTGTTGAAGCGCTTAACAGCAATCCAGTGATCATCGCCTAGCAAGCCTTTGTAAACTACATTTGGAGCCTTCTCTCCGTGTTCTGAAACAATATTCTCTGAAGAAAACCCATTTGTTGCATTTTTCAGTTCTTCCCAGCTGAACTCAGTAAAACTTGGCAATGCATTTTTCTCCCCATTCTCTGCAAATCATTGTATAAACTATTAAAATCTTAAAATAAAACAACAGTAGAAAACACTTGCAAATTGGGGCACCCTATATCTACTGACCTGGATCAGAAGATTGAAGAACAGAGGGCTTCAGGTGAGAATGCCACCAGCAGAAGGAAAGTTTTGAGCAACGCGCACCCATTTAGCAATAATTTTCAGATAAACTGTTCAAGAAACAGATGCTTCTATGACAAAACACGAATGATTTAAGAGTTTTAGTATGAGCACTTAATAAGAAGCATTTGAAAGAGAGAAATGGGAAAGCGGAAGTGGATTTTGTGGATCCGAGGATAGTATTTACTCCTGTACAGACAGGCTTTTTCAAGAAAGACATGCATTAAAGAATAGTGTATTAACGTGTGTATACGTATTCGTATTCTTATACATACTGTCATTTCACTTGTTTCGCTTTGTCTAACATTAGTACGTAGACGGACCAAAATGATGTCTGTATTGTGTTGGCGTTGCAATTTGCAAAAGAGAGTCACCTTTTCCCCCTACTCTCTCTCTACTTTCATGTTTTTCTGCTTTCACGTTTCCTCTTTCCGACTTGCTCATCATTTCCCTTTCCTTTTATGCTCTCTGATACGTATTCGTATTCTTATACATACTGTCATTTCACTTGTTTCGCTTTGTCTAACATTAGTACATAGACGGACCAAAATGATGTCTGTATTGTGTTGGCGTTGCAATTTGCAAAAGAGAGTCACCTTTTCCCCCTACTTTCTCTCTCTACTTTCATGTTTTTCTGCTTTCACGTTTCCTCTTTCCGACTTGCTCATCATTTCCCTTTCCTTTTATGCTCTCTGCCCCTCGCTCTCCCTTTGTGTGTGTATACACAATTTCACTCTATTGAAATATTGTGTTACCTATTAATATTCTGGTATTGTACAATTTAGAGTTGTACTGAATTAATCATCGAAAGGGCTACGAGAACAAACCTCATAGTCTTTATTCAAATGTCATGATCATCCTCAAATTCAAATCCCTATCTTAATCTCTTGTCCGACCTAACCTCACCCGATGTATGAATTTTGGTGGTTTTAGAACTCAAAACATGTGACAATTCTCAACATTATTTTGTTCAGTTTTATTTTTGGGATACCTAACACGTAAAATAATTCATTATATTTTTGTAATTCTAAACTTATGTGTGTCCATATTTAAATTAAAGGGTGATTCATGATTGTACTCCATCATATTTTTTATGAATGCACCACTCATTAATTACATTAAATGTCCTTAATCTTTATTCATTGTCACATTTAGCCTCTAATTGGGCTCTATTTTTTCGAAAATGCATTTTGCTTAAAACTTGTTTTCAACCACACATTCTAACATAAAATAATATTATATGTAAATAAAAAAATTCTTATTTTTAACCACTCATTTTCCAAAAAAAAAAAATCACTATTCCAAAATACATTTTCTCAAAAAAAAAAAAAAAAAATTTTATATATATATTTTTTGACTTATTTAAAAATACAGCGACAATTAAATTTTTTATTTTCTCTTAACGAAATTTTGGATAGAAATCATCATTAGAGACAAGTTATGTTAATTTGAAAATAAGAATGCAATGATTCCAAAATACATTTTCTCAAAAAAAAAAAGATAAAAAAAGTTCATTTTACTGGAGCCCAAACAAGGGCTTGTATCCTTAACTTTTCTTTGTATCATGCTCTTATTTGTTAACTTTTAATCAACTAGCATATTGTCCTTAATCACAATTTTCATGCAAAAGTACTATTAACGTGGTTTAAAACGAGGAATAAATATTTTGACTTATTTAAAAATACAGCGACAATTAAATTTTTTTATTTTCTCTTAACGAAATTTTGGATAGAAATCATCATTAGAGACAAGTTATGTTAATTTGAAAATAAGAATGCAATGAAATAAAGTTAGGGTATAAATAAAATAATGAGTAAAGATTATCAACTTTTCATGTAATTAAAATGCAGTATTAACCTTTATGGGGTGATTGAGTTAGTGGAGAACGTGAACGTCGAGGCCTTTGTTCACGAGTTCAATTTTTCCTACCAACACTTTCTCGGTCAAGTCTGTAGCACAGGACTTGCCTAGTGCGATTTACCTGACTGGCGTGGTTTACAAACTATAGCGTCAATTTGAGGGTTTACTCAGTACGCATTCGAAAGGTAGCAGCTGCGGGTTTCCCCATCATAAAAAAAAAATGCAGTATTAAAGAAATGGAGTGAATACATCCTAAGTGCTTGTTTGTGTCCCATTATTTGTGAATAATGTATTATGGAATAGTGATTGATATTAAATGTGTGGTTAAAAAAGAAGAAAATTTTTTTAATTTACGTGTGATATTATTTTAATGAAAAATTTACAGTTAAAAATAAGTATTGTAAAAAAAGTAATGTGAAAAAATGGTAAACAAACAAAACCTAAATTAATATGACAGCATTTTCATTCACCAATAAAAACGAGGTAAAATGTACTTAAGATTTAAGAAAGGTATATAAATAATTGTGCGACAAGGGTCGTTTTCAGCAGGTCAATGTCGAAAAATTCGGTGATGTAGAACAAATCCTAAGTAATTCGATTTGTTTAGTCAAAGTTTCGCATAAATTAATTGAAGCTGTCTAATCACTAATTAAAATTAATTTTAGTACTTTTCTAGTCCTTGTCTTAGCAGATTACTTGACTTGCTTTTAATTAAACGAGGGAGATCCAATCTAAACTGCATATAAATTATTTAATTTAATTACTTATCTGAATATTACTTCTTACTGATATTATCATTTGGTATAAAAAGGTGTAATAATACGAATAATTAACTATGAAACTATTAAAATTATAACATTCAACACTCCGTTGGTGGGTCCCATTTTGTCAACGTAGTACATAATTTAACGTTGGTCGTATTCAATAAAATTGTATGTTTTCTTGTCATCCCATATGGCCGTGCTCCCTCTCCCTTTTTCCATGCATTCTGTTTCCCTTTTTATTCCTTTCCATGGAGATGTCTGTATCAAGATATTTAGTAGAATCATGTGGATGACAAATTTTCGAATTTATTTCATTAAATTTGAGCACATTTGATTGTGAAAACTTCATTTTAACTCGATTTCTTGAAGTTTAAATATTAAATATTCATATAAAAATTGTCAAACTTGGTTATATATATATATATATATATAATGTAATGAAAATCCTCATGTTATTCCCTTCTTCACAGGAAAAGGATGAGCAAGTGCGACCGTACAGTCCTAATAAAGGCAATGGTCCCAAGTTATGATTAACCCCAAATTCTGTAGGCAAGCCTGATGACAGAATAATGATAAATCAGGACAGTCCACAATGGCTAAGTCACAGTATCCTTGCACGCAAGATGTAGTAATCATATGTACCACCCATTTAGGATTCAAGAGGACCCTTTTACACATTAAGCCTGCAAAGGAGAGAAATTGAAAGAATCGCAGTCGAGTAAGATCGACGAATGATTTGATCCAATATAAATAGCACGACCTGATTTTTTGCTCACATGAACAGGATAAACCTTGCCAATCGTCCAGGTGGGGCCCTTTTTTTGACAAATAAAAAACGAGAAGGTTTGACCTATCGGCCACATAACGGTGGACAACATAACTCCTATCTACTGTGAACATTCCTCTTTTCAGTATATCAATTCTAATGAATCATGTATAGGTGTGGTTGGTATTTATCATTTTAAGATGAGCATAAGAGAGCCGCTGTGAATAGTTTGATACACACTTGTAAGCCAGTTCAAAATCATTCATATAGAGTTGGTCCAAATTAATAGGCCCCTGGGAATGAAAGCCTATTTCTTGACACTGTTTATTCGCATTTGGGGTTTCCATGGCCTGTTGGGGCACATCCCGCGATTTACCTTCCTCACAAAATTCTAGGGACGAAACGTTGAGAGTCCTCAGAGTTGGGGTTCAACCTTTACTTGTCTGGTGCATTAAATGTTTGTACAATTTCTCTTTCGTGTACTTGAATCGACATTAATTTGTGAAACTGCAATCCCAGACAAATTATTTTCCAGTCATTGGGTTGATGTTCCAATGATCAGTCAACCTCGACAGTTGAAGACATGTTTTCTGATAGAAGGGATTGGTGCCAATTTACTTTATTCACGTGATGCAGACAACCCCAAAAAAATGATTTAAAAAATAATAAAATTAACAAACTTTTACTTCTTCCTCTGCAGTTAAGACCGCTGATTTTTTATTTTTTTTTATCCTTTCGGTCTATTTAACAGGAAGATGTAGAGTAGAGTATTTCATTGTATGAAACAATAGCAGAAGCAAACATGTAAGAGGCTCAAGATAAAAAATGATTGAAGCAATTAAAATAACTGGAATTCCATGACAAGATATTAATTTTAATGGCGACATTGCGCACTTTGGAATCCACCAGAGAATCAGGACTATCAAAACACTGAAAAGCATAACCCAAACTCAGTTTACCGGTTCGAAAAGCAGCAGATGTGAGTCGCTGAAGATCAGGTAGTAAACCGAGAGAGCCATCTCCATTGCAACACAGTCTCTTCCATAACCATAATCTATACGCCATTGATCGCTGCTTCAATATGCAGGGAATTTCCATTTTCGATGATCTTGCCATTGCTCTGAGTCTTAGGCCTCTGAGAAGGATGCAATAATAATATCAGAAAACCAATACACCATAGGCCAATAAAAAGCCAGGTGACTAAAATACAAAGAAAAATGGTGAATGTTAGTACCCTGTCAGTCGAATCTCCAGAATTCCCATTCAAAAGTTTGTTATTCTCTTCCTTTGTCCAGCCATCCTTGGTGTATGGGAGCAATGTACCTCCATTAGAGCGATCAGGCAATTCTACATGAAATAGAAACAATGTCAGGGGAGAAGTAGCCAACAATGGCTATCAAAAGAATAATTAAACACTAACCTGGCAATGTTTTCTCGATGAAGAACACGACTAAGTTAACAGTATACCTGAATCATATTCAGGTGTTAAAAAATATATTAGACCACTTTAAAAAGTAGAAGCTCCAAAATAATATATTGCGAGTAAATTAATATATTTACCATGCCACAACAACATCAACTGTGTAGTGTTTACGGGATGCGACAATCAACAAGCTCTGAATCACAACAGTTAACCAAGCACACTGCTTAATGAACCTGCCATACCACATAAAGAATTTAACCAAAACTTCCCAAAAAACATAAAACCAGAAAGAGTAACAGATTTATGGGGATTTTTTTTCCTTCCCAAAAAAATTAAATACATATGAATTAAACAATTTGGGGAAGGATGTTTTTCTCCCAATAAAAACCTCTACGAAATGGGAGCACTTCACCACCCATGTTTCTGTAATTTACCTATATTTCAAACATAGTCCAACTTCGAACTCCGTGGACGTTGATATATCATGTTAAGCACGCACGTGACCGCTAGTAAATAGAATGCTCATAAAACATTTTGAACGTCACTATCTTAAATTGCCTCAATATGACCATTCAATTCATCTTAATTACTGAAAATTGCTTCATGAAGTCAAAATTAGGCAGGTTACTAACTTTCACTCTAATTCCTCTAAGTCATCTTCCCGTACCCCAATATGGTGCAAAAGTCCCATCCACGATATAAAGCTTTAGTCCAAGCAGGATTGTAGTAATTATTGCCAGAGTCAAGAATGTAGCTCCACAAAGAAAAGAATGGGTGTGGAAAACTCAAAGTTTCAAAAATTGAATTCCTTTCAAAAGATTTTTCAAAAAAATTTAAGAACAGAAAAAAGGAAAAAAGTACAAAAAAGTCTATATGCCTAGGCACAAGTTTTCAAAGCCTCCAATTTTCTCTATATGATTTAGAGAAAAAGTTTAAATAGATCAATTTATAGACAGCCTCACCATAGAACTTCAACTTGAATACCTTCATTGGTAAAAATCCACTGAGAAGTCTTCAAAAATTTTAGCTTTCTATATCGTTCGCAAAAATCTTCAATAGAAATTTCTTGTTTTAACAGCCCTAACATGTAATCAGTATTTCAATTTGTATATCTTAGTTCAAGTTAGTTAGAAACCATAGGAAAAGAAAACACTTCTTTTTTTCAATCTCGCACCCATAGACGTGCACACTTGGATACGTGGCTTGATTTGGGAGAGAGAGGAGAGTAGATAGAGTGAAGCATTGGGACGTTAGTGTAAATATATCAATTTATATACCCATTATTTTGAAGCATCCTAAAACCAAAATGATGCCATTAAATTGAAACAAAGGGACTACTAGCTTTAGATCCCAAACTTAAACAAGGGGGAGGTGGAATGGGGGTTAAATGTCCAAGTTCTGCAAATACACAAAAGAGAATAAAATTCGATATTGTTCAATTAATTACCTCCGTGTTCCATATTTGTGATATGTCCGCACAAAGACTAGAGAGAAAATCATGTGAGATGAAAATATTAAATCGCCACATCCATAAAGCACACCATGAACTGCAAATTCATGAAAATCCAAATGAGCAACAAAAATGAAAAATATAAATTAGAAAACAAGAGGGTAGTAATAAATGCAACCCTGAATTACATTTAATTAAGAAGAATTCTACAGCATTGTCAGGAAGAGGCAGCCTGGCAAGGTTTGAGCCCTACAATGTAAAACAAATACCAATATAAATTTTACAGCTAGCGTGATGATTAGAGAGAAGTCATGGCAATTAATTGCATCTCACTTCTGGTGTCAATTCCAATCACAATGCAAGAGCACCACGTAAAATTCCAATTATTATTTACCTCGCGACAATGATAGTTAGGACCAGGAAGTTGAGTTGAATAGAAAGTTATGACCCGAAGAAATTGACAAGCCTGCAGCAAATTACAAAGAGAAGGCTATTATGACAAGACTAAATTGCCTCATGTAGTTTCCGACAAAATAGTGATCAATAATTACTATGAATCCACAAAAAGATGTTCATCTTGGAAGCCAAAGAGGCAAATGATTTTCAATTGTTTACTCCCCCAAAAATTACTGATTCATGGAGAAGTTTTCAAAAGATGGGAACAGAAATTTTCACTTACAACTAAACAAGCCAGGACCCTGCACCATATTAGGACTGTGTAAATTTTTTTGCTCTTGAAGATGAAGGGATGAAATGTCCACTGCACCAGAGCATAAACCATAATTAGTATTTGAAGGAAAACTTGAAAGAAGGAACATTAGAGTAACTAAATCTTAAAATCAGTAAATGGGAAAACTGACCAAGACAAATGATAGAAAGACGGAGGTAAATACGGTTTCACTGATGTAAGCTCTGTCTTGCCCAAGTTCCTGTGATAGTTCCAGAAGTTTGAAATGAGTGAAGAACTCGGACAGCAAGTATGCATCTTGTTAGTAGTAATATCCATTGGAAATACAGAAAATACAGTTCTTACCGGAAGAAGAAAGAAGCCAAGATCCTGAAGTATCGGTCCTGGCCTATGAAAATAATGAATTCCTCGAGCAGCAAGTCCATGTATGTACTGAAGCCAGAAGATAAAGATAGATACCGCATTTTAGGCATTTGTACCAATTATAATCGAGCAGAAAAGCAAAGAAAATTAAGCAAAATTAAGTTGATGAAAAAGATGTAATCTGTTGAAATTAAATGGAATAGAGAACACCAGATTAGATCTATTTCACAAGAAAGTCATATAGCTTCGCTTCATGATGTTGCAGTTAAAGCACAATGATGAATTATCCAAAGACTAATTGTAAAGCACGTCATGTTCATGTCACTCAGATTGGACAATAATTAATTGAAGTAAAATTTAATGACGAGCAATCTGGAAATAGTTAAACCTTAAGCAACCTAACAAAGGCTTTTGAAATCACCGAAAACACATCAAAAGACGATCTTAAACTACTCAAAAGATCTTAAAATCTTCCACCAAATTAACATGCATCAAAAAACTCATAAGGCTACAGAAAAATAGGAGGGAAACAGAGACAGAATGTAAAGTAGAGATTGTTGATCAATATATATTTACACAAACCTGACAAATGAGACCACCTAGAATATACTTCCAATTTTCTGCAAGAAGGTTGATTTCCGTCGTGACTTCCGCACAAAATCTCTTCCACGTCTTCTCATCAGGAAACAAAAAGACAAGAAAAAAAATCAACAAAAGACTCCCAGAAGTAGTATTAATCTAACTAACAAAGAAATTAAAATCAAACTAAAAATCGCAGAGAGAAAGTGCAGAGGTAAGTCGAACCTTTGAAGCCTCGCGGCCGATGTAAAGCGACATCTTCTATGTATGTGACAGTCAACAATAGTGCCATATTATGTTACAACATTGTTCATCCTCAGTATAGAAGAACTCTCTTTGCTGCTCAAATTCCACTAGTTAATTAATCAAGATTCCACTTAACAAACTAAAGAATCCCGGTCAATTAACCCTCCCAAGATCCGTAACAGTAAAACCCAGTTTCCAAATCGACGATCTTCCAAAAAACCAATCTATTGTCACAATAATTGTTTGGAAAAATGAAAGTTATATGGTAAATCAATCTGAAAAACTCTCTCGCTCACTGAATATGTACTAGTGTTGTTTCATTTGTCTCCTACGTGCGATTACACGCGAGTTCCACACGGGGAAACAGTTGAGACTCAACCGGGGATCTGAAGGGAAGAGGGAAAATAAAAATTCTCCTTTTTCCCAAAACCAATAGAAAATCAAAATAGTGAACGAAAATGAGCTGGACTGATTAATCTTTAAATATTCTTGCTAAGCCTTGTCTCCATTCTTGTCACAAGAAAATGAATTTTTGAATGGTATAATGATAAAAAATGTATGATTAAAAAATAAGGAAAAATTTTAAATTTACGTGTAATATTATTTTATTGAAAAATGTGTTATTGAAATAATATCAAAACACTATTTAAAAATGTATTTTTTCAAAAGAATAAGGCTCAAATAGGGGCTAAATTAATTTTTAAATGAAAAAGGACTTATATTGCATTTTAATTCTATCCAATTTAAGTCCCATAATTTTTTTTTTATTTTGTGTGAATGTATAGTTAAAATGAGTATATAGAGAAAAATTGAAATAATGGTCGTCAAATAGTGGCTAAAATACTCTGCACGAAAATGTAAATTCAAAATTTTCTCTACTTTTTAACTACATACTCTTCATAAAATCATTATTCAAAACTCCAATTTACCCAAATAATGGTTATCAAACAAATGCCAACATGGCTAAGAGCATATGCAAAAAAAACCCTTTATTTTCTAATAGCAATTTAGGAAACATTTATAAATTTAGCTCTATCCTCAGTTTTTTGGCTAAAATGTATTATAGACTAGTGATTTTTGGGAGAATATGAGGTAAAAAAGTAAGAAAATTTTTTTGAAATATGCGTATAATTATTTTATTGAAGAATGTGTGGTTGAAAATGAAATTTGAAAAAATATATTGTTGAAAAAATAAGGCTCAAACGCGGGCTTAAAAAGTAAAAAACTTTTTAGGGAAAATTCATAAACCATGTATTAACTATGCACAGTTCTTTGTTGCATTTTTCAGTTCTTCCCAGCTGAACTCAGTAAAACTTGGCAATGCATTTTTCTCCCCATTCTCTGCAAATCATTGTATAAACTATTAAAATCTTAAAATAAAACAACAGTAGAAAACACTTGCAAATTGGGGCACCCTATATCTACTGACCTGGATCAGAAGATTGAAGAACAGAGGGCTTCAGGTGAGAATGCCACCAGCAGAAGGAAAGTTTTGAGCAACGCGCACCCATTTAGCAATAATTTTCAGATAAACTGTTCAAGAAACAGATGCTTCTATGACAAAACACGAATGATTTAAGAGTTTTAGTATGAGCACTTAATAAGAAGCATTTGAAAGAGAGAAATGGGAAAGCGGAAGTGGATTTTGTGGATCCGAGGATAGTATTTACTCCTGTACAGACAGGCTTTTTCAAGAAAGACATGCATTAAAGAATAGTGTATTAACGTGTGTATACGTATTCGTATTCTTATACATACTGTCATTTCACTTGTTTCGCTTTGTCTAACATTAGTACGTAGACGGACCAAAATGATGTCTGTATTGTGTTGGCGTTGCAATTTGCAAAAGAGAGTCACCTTTTCCCCCTACTCTCTCTCTACTTTCATGTTTTTCTGCTTTCACGTTTCCTCTTTCCGACTTGCTCATCATTTCCCTTTCCTTTTATGCTCTCTGCCCCTCGCTCTCCCTTTGTGTGTGTATACACAATTTCACTCTATTGAAATATTGTGTTACCTATTAATATTCTGGTATTGTACAATTTAGAGTTGTACTGAATTAATCATCGAAAGGGCTACGAGAACAAACCTCATAGTCTTTATTCAAATGTCATGATCATCCTCAAATTCAAATCCCTATCTTAATCTCTTGTCCGACCTAACCTCACCCGATGTATGAATTTCGGTGGTTTTAGAACTCAAAATATGTGACAATTCTCAACATTATTTTGTTCAGTTTTATTTTTGGGATACCTAACACGTAAAATAATTCATTATATTTTTGTAATTCTAAACTTATGTGTGTCCATATTTAAATTAAAGGGTGATTCATGATTGTACTCCATCATATTTTTTATGAATGCACCACTCATTAATTACATTAAATGTCCTTAATCTTTATTCATTGTCACATTTAGCCTCTAATTGGGCTCTATTTTTTCGAAAATGCATTTTGCTTAAAACTTGTTTTCAACCACACATTCTAACATAAAATAATATTATATGTAAATAAAAAAATTCTTATTTTTAACCACTCATTTTCCAAAAAAATCACTATTCCAAAATACATTTTCTCAAAAAAAAAAAGATAAAAAAAGTTCATTTTACTGGAGCCCAAACAAGGGCTTGTATCCTTAACTTTTCTTTGTATCATGCTCTTATTTGTTAACTTTTAATCAACTAGCATATTGTCCTTAATCACAATTTTCATGCAAAAGTACTATTAACGTGGTTTAAAACGAGGAATAAATATTTTGACTTATTTAAAAATACAGCGACAATTAAATTTTTTTATTTTCTCTTAACGAAATTTTGGATAGAAATCATCATTAGAGACAAGTTATGTTAATTTGAAAATAAGAATGCAATGAAATAAAGTTAGGGTATAAATAAAATAATGAGTAAAGATTATCAACTTTTCATATAATTAAAATGCAGTATTAACCTTCATGGGGTGGTTGAGTTAGTGGAGTACGTGAACGTCGAGGCCTTTGTTCACGAGTTCGATTTTCCCTACCAACACTTTCTCGGTCGAGTCTGTAGCACAGGATTTGCCTGGTGCGATTTACCTGACTGGCGTGGTTTACAGATTATTGCGTCAGTTTGAGGGTTTACTCAGTATGCATTCGAAAGGTAGCGGCTGCAGGTTTCCCCATCATAAAAAAAAAAAAAAAAAAAAAAAAAAAAATTAAAAAAAAGGGGGGAAAAAAACCCATGAAATATTTGATGTTAACATGTAGTCGTGAAGGACGAATAAGTGGTAATACTAGTAGTTCACTGAAACCGCAACCAACAGTGAAGATGGGTTATAAAGCTAGGATATCTGCATCTTCAGATATCCTGGGAAATTGGAAAATTAATGCGGTCAACCTCGAGCACAATCATGAGATAAGTCCATCTAAGTCTAGGTTATATCGATGCAACCGAACTTTGAGGGCACATGTGTAAATGAAGCTTGAAGTAAATGATGTAGAAGGGATTCCCTTGCATAAGAGTTACAATTCTACAGTTGTGGAAGTCGGTGGATATGAGAAGATGACTTGTATTGACGGTGATGTAGAACAAATCCTAAGTAATTCGATTTGTTTAGTCAAAGTTTCGCATAAATTAATTGAAGCTGTCTAATCACTAATTAAAATTAATTTTAGTACTTTTCGAGTCCTTGTCTTAGCAGATTACTTGACTCGCTTTTTAATTAAACGAGGGAGATCCAATCTAAACTGCATATAAATTATTTAATTTAATTACTTATCTGAATATTACTTCTTACTGATATTATCATTTGGTATAAAAAGGTGTAATAATACGAATAATTAACTATGAAACTATTAAAATTATAACATTCAACACTCCGTTGGTGGGTCCCATTTTGTCAACGTAGTACATAATTTAACGTTGGTCGTATTCAATAAAATTGTATGTTTTCTTGTCATCCCATATGGCCGTGCTCCCTCTCCCTTTTTCCATGCATTCTGTTTCCCTTTTTATTCCTTTCCATGGAGATGTCTGTATCAAGATATTTAGTAGAATCATGTGGATGACAAATTTTCGAATTTATTTCATTAAATTTGAGCACATTTGATTGTGAAAACTTCATTTTAACTCGATTTCTTGAAGTTTAAATATTAAATATTCATATAAAAATTGTCAAACTTGGTTATATATATATATATATATATAATGTAATGAAAATCCTCATGTTATTCCCTTCTTCACAGGAAAAGGATGAGCAAGTGCGACCGTACAGTCCTAATAAAGGCAATGGTCCCAAGTTATGATTAACCCCAAATTCTGTAGGCAAGCCTGATGACAGAATAATGATAAATCAGGACAGTCCACAATGGCTAAGTCACAGTATCCTTGCACGCAAGATGTAGTAATCATATGTACCACCCATTTAGGATTCAAGAGGACCCTTTTACACATTAAGCCTGCAAAGGAGAGAAATTGAAAGAATCGCAGTCGAGTAAGATCGACGAATGATTTGATCCAATATAAATAGCACGACCTGATTTTTTGCTCACATGAACAGGATAAACCTTGCCAATCGTCCAGGTGGGGCCCTTTTTTTGACAAATAAAAAACGAGAAGGTTTGACCTGTCGGCCACATAACGGTGGACAACATAACTCCTATCTACTGTGAACATTCCTCTTTTCAGTAGATCAATTCTAATGAATCATGTATAGGTGTGGTTGGTATTTATCATTTTAAGATGAGCATAAGAGAGCCGCTGTGAATAGTTTGATACACACTTGTAAGCCAGTTCAAAATCATTCATATAGAGTTGGTCCAAATTAATAGGCCCCTGGGAATGAAAGCCTATTTCTTGACACTGTTTATTCGCATTTGGGGTTTCCATGGCCTGTTGGGGCACATCCCGCGATTTACCTTCCTCACAAAATTCTAGGGACGAAACGTTGAGAGTCCTCAGAGTTGGGGTTCAACCTTTACTTGTCTGGTGCATTAAATGTTTGTACAATTTCTCTTTCGTGTACTTGAATCGACATTAATTTGTGAAACTGCAATCCCAGACAAATTATTTTCCAGTCATTGGGTTGATGTTCCAATGATCAGTCAACCTCGACAGTTGAAGACATGTTTTCTGATAGAAGGGATTGGTGCCAATTTACTTTATTCACGTGATGCAGACAACCCCAAAAAAATGATTTAAAAAATAATAAAATTAACAAACTTTTACTTCTTCCTCTGCAGTTAAGACCGCTGATTTTTTATTTTTTTTTATCCTTTCGGTCTATTTAACAGGAAGATGTAGAGTAGAGTATTTCATTGTATGAAACAATAGCAGAAGCAAACATGTAAGAGGCTCAAGATAAAAAATGATTGAAGCAATTAAAATAACTGGAATTCCATGACAAGATATTAATTTTAATGGCGACATTGCGCACTTTGGAATCCACCAGAGAATCAGGACTATCAAAACACTGA